AATCAGCAAGTAGTGATGTTTGATAAAAGCCATTCATTTTGTCCATTTTTTAAAAATATTCTCTCAAAGAAAGGTCTATTGTCAGTATAGTCAAAACAGCAGATTTGCAGTGAGGTCTGGCCTGTTAACTGCATTTGGTGTTTTCTCTGTGTTGACTCGTGCACATTTGTAAGAGCAGTTCTATATCTGAGCTTATTTCTTCAGTTCTGTAATTCGGAACAAAAAGAAACGAAGGAGAAGCATCTCAGTCATGTGGCACATGCTCCTGCTTTTATCTGCAGCTCATGTCAAATTGCCTTGGGATTGCAGCTGTGATCTGCTTGCATACATCACCTATCTGATTACAGCCCATAATGCGGGTAGTCATAACGCAGCACGTCTCATTGCAGCGCTGCTTACAAGCCTTGGACAGAACCCAGTGTCAACGGTGGTTTTCTCACCAAGTCTGCACAGGATCCAGGTGCAACAAAGGACTGTAACCTAAGAAGGAATCTTCGTCTGTATTTATTGGAATTGTATTAATAGTACATAGTAACCATGTTGAGAATAGACACCATTTGGAAGGTATTTTTTATTAGCATCCTTTTTTAAAATAAAAACGGGCTCCTAAAAGATCTTTTTTTAAAAGATACGATCACCTCATATAAATGCCTAAAATAATCCACTTGAAATAACTTGGAATGTCTAAAATAATCCACTGTTACACTTTTTCTTCCGCCATTCCTGTAATTGCTGAAACTCTGAGTATTCTTTGAGTATTAACAGATCCTTTTTAGCTTTAAAAATGTATTTTCCTGCTGACTAATTCAGCAGTTTTTCATCAAACCTCGTTTTCTCCTTTCTCTCACTCCCACCCCGAGCAAGAGCGGTAGGTAGTGGCTGGTAACTAGTGAAGCTTTATGGTGACAGTGAAGTTTGGTGATATGCCCAGACTCCAGATAAAGCCCATTTTGATTTTCTTGTAAATAGGAGCAGGAGAAAATAACGTATTGGCCCTTCTTGTCCTGAGCAACAGATAGCGAACTAGTCTTGTTCCAGCCTGGGTCTTCTTTTTAATTATTCTCGCAATTAAGGAGGGGCTGTGCTTACTCGGAGTGATCAGACCAAGGGGGAAAAAGCTGATGCTGCAGATTTCAGCCCCAGTGAAGCCTCTGGCCCTTACAACAGGGGCATGTCGCCACAAATTGTGCTTATTACATCCATCACAAGGACATTCTAGGTCACAGATGCCCTGCGTGGCAGCTCGAGAGAGCTGAGGGAGTTAAATTGCACTCCGAGGAGTTTTGCCAGGGAACGTGTGGCCCGGCTTCCGCTTGGGATTGGGGCTAGCCTGGGATGAGCCCTCCCCGTTCCTGTGCCCCATGGCCTCCCCCAAGGCTGCTGCTGGGTTTGTAGCACGGCCAAGCACAGGGATCGGGACAAAGGCGGTGCTGAGCACTTCCAGAGAGCATCATTTATTTACATTTAAAATGTATTGTTCACCATTTTACTGAAGAACTCAAGAAGTCAGTACTCAGAACTTGCCCAGCTGAGACCCGAAGCATCTTAGCCTGGATTTCTTTATGAATCTGGACAGAATAAGTATCTTTTCATACGATGAGATGTGTTTGAGTCTGTTGTTTATCACCATGAGTAAAAATTGCTCTATTTGCTGAAATGAGCCCTGTCCTGCCTTGATGTAGTTAATGACGTTCCCGTTACATGCTGTGATTTTCAGAGGTGTGCGGATCAAACAGGTACCGGTTCAGCAACACGTGTTACTAGAATGACAAGCAGTAGCAGTCGCTCCTTTAGCAGAGAATCTTGTCTAAAATTGGACCGGATTAGACCTTAGCCCTAGGTCGGGGGAACAGGAAGCCGATCCTGTGTCTGGATTGATTCCCAGGGGGTCCCGTTTCAGAGCTTGCAGTCAGAGGCACATGTTTGCATGAGGCTGCCCGTGTGGAAAGAGGCCTTAGAGCCTCTCCTTTCACGCTGCCTGGAGCTGCTTTGGTCGAAGGGCTCAAAGGGAAGGTGCCTTTTTTGTTGTCTTCCTTGAGCAGGGAGCACAGGGAGGAGAGCAGAAAATGATGGTATTTTCATCCTCCTGTTTGTTATTCAAGTTGCACAAACACGCCAGAGCATTTCTCTAAATTAAATTATGCAAACCTTTCATGTTCTCCCCCTGTTCCAAGGAAGCTCGTTTGGCTGCTTGCGGATCTGCAGCCACAGAGAGCACAAAGATCTGCAGTGTGCACAGGCTCGGGCGCTGAATAGCGTCGTGCTGAAAGGACCTGCGCAAGCTCCGAGCGAGCATAAAGGCTTTCAGGGCACTAAGCAGAAATCTGCTTAAATCCCCGACCGGGAGGAGAGCAGTGTGCACTATCAGCCTATGCCCGGAGATGGGAAGGCTCGCAGGACATTTGCATTTTGGATTTGCTGCATTCAAAGGTTCCGGCGTCTCTGCAAAGGTTGAAATGGGGGAAGGAGTGAACAGAAGGCTCTGCCTTTTTGCCCTCTGCATGCAAGTATTTAGGGCTCTTCGCTGCGTATGTGCCTGGCTAGCACTGATCCTGGTGGCACATGGCAGAAAGGACGTGCCAGGCTCCAGGGACTTCCCATGGGAAGTGCAGCACGGACAGGGAGCTGTGTCTCCCGAGATGTTGCTGGACCGCGGATAAAATGCAAAAGGCATCTGTGAGGCACAGGGCTAAAGGCTGAACTGGAGCAGAAACTTTTCCCTTCTGGCTCAGTGCTGAGCAGAGCAGATGATGGCATCACACGTATGGATTATTTGGGCGGAAATGGGTGTTTTGGGGGAGGTTGGGCTGCAGGCACAAATGGAGAGAGCAGCAGAACGCAGTGTGTGTAACAGCTCCTTCTTAACCTCCAGAAAAGAGTAAAGAAAACCTGGCCACAAGAAATACACCAGAAACTGAGAAATATCTAGAATAGCTTTGCACATTCCCATGCTGCAGCATAGCTCGAGGATATAATTGTCCTAAAAAAAATCTTTTTGTGCCTGACTATTTGGGTGTTTGTCCTCAAAGACATTTCTTTTACTTTGCAACCTAGTTTGCTAAACCGGAATCTCTCTGTGCAGCACCCATATAACGATCATATTAGAGATCTATACCAGGTAGTCTAGCAAGGGCTGCCAATTCAGGGAATATAGGGCAGGTGGATGAATACATTCCCTGATATCAAACAAATGCAGAAAAAAAACTACTCAGGAGCAGAAAAAGAAGGGCTATGAGGTCAAAAATGGTGGCTTGGTCACCAGTAGCAATCTGTAAAGATGGGAAAGAAAAGATAAGAAGGAAAACCATGGCTACTGACTAGAGGATGCCTGCCTAATATATGAGGAGAATGAGTGTGTCTCTGCTTAAGTGATTATGTAGAAGGTGAATAGGAGCAGGCTGAAGGCAGATCTTTCACTTCCAGTCTGGTACTAGTTGCAACTGCTTTTCAATGGTGCCAGCCCTCCCTGCAGTTTCAGCTACTCAAATAGCAGCAGACAAAGACTCTGCATAGACAGTGTGTAAAAACTCATTATTGAATGTTTGCACTGTGACCTCCTTCTTTCTGCAGCCTCACTGCTAAATATTCATGCAAGGGGTCTCCGGCAGATCCCTGCCATCTGCCTGGATTTGTGTGACTTTATCTGAGAGCTCCCAAACATGTAAAATTGTATCCTCACAACAGCCCTTTAGGGAAAAAAAAAGGAATTAGTCATCTCTCTGAAGGGAAAAGGAATCAAAACACACAGAGATTTAGTGAGTTAACTGGATTTATTCATCGAGACTCGAGCAGAGACAGGATCCAGATGCAGATCCTTTGAGTGCTACCGCCAGCTGTAGCCCTGGGCTTTCAAGCAAGGGTCGTATTTAGTGTTACAGGGTGCTGAATAGGTCACCCAATACTGCTCAGCAGGCCTAAGAAATCTGTGCAGCTATAAAACTCTGTCTTTTTCTTTCATCCTCTGTCACCGCTCCTTTGTGCTGGTGACAGATGCCTCGGGTAACTAATGCTGAACCTCAAAGGTGGGAAGTAATTTGCCATGTTGTTGCACTCTGTCGCTCCATGCAGACCGGTGGCTTTTACAGGGCTTGGCCACGTGGCTTTTCTGTCCTATATGTGTGCACGGGTAGGGAACCAAAGTATTTGTCAAGGAGGAATTGATAATAAAGCCATGATTTAGGTGTGGCAGCCTCCGCCTTTGCTTGCCCACCTCGTTGGCCTGAGGAACAGCAGGTTGGGCAGGCGGCGCGCACACGGTCAGTGCTGGGTGGAGAGGTCGCCACAGCTGCGTGTCTGGGGTCTTTTAGAGCGGTCGTGCCTTTCCCTCGCCGCTCCTGATGTGCTCCTGACACTTCAGCAGAGCGCCTTCAAATGCAGTTACTGCCTCTGTGAGAACAGCATGACATTTTAAGGGTAAAGAATGCTCCTCAATTTTTGAGTCATGCAACAAATCCAGTCCCCAGTTAGAACCCGTTAAAAGGTCTGGATGGGAAGGGTGAAGAACAGGACCACTGAGAAGAGAATCCCAGACTTCTCAGTGCACTTGCATGAAATTGCTGCTGCTGGGAGCTTGTGGTACTCATATGCTTCAGGAAGCTGAATCTGGAGCTCAGCTTCAACTCTTACACATTACATGTTGTCCCCATACAGACAAGTTATCATGGAAGAAACATTACTGCAGGATGTCATGGGGGTTGTTTTGTGCCTGTTCCCACCTCAGCTTGCTTTCTCCTCTGCCCAGGCCCTTGCTTTCATAGTAACTTCTAGGCCTAGGTGCCTTTCTCCAACAAGAAGGGACACCTTTTCCCTGTGGTTCTCAAGGAAGTTCTCTACATTCTGGAACCATGCTAGAGGGCATCTTTGTGCCTTTAACACCGTATTGAAACATTTTCTTCTTTCAACAACCTTTCTTCTTTTAGTCTTTAAGAATAGCCTTGGGGCTTGGAGCTCTCTTGGTCATAGTAGCGCTGTCGTTGACTTTTACTTTAACTGTTTTTCAGGCATTGGAAAAAATGTCATCTGTGACCGAACAGCGACTCCCCTGGATGCCTTTAGGATGATGACGGCGGCTCATTATTACCCGAAGCTCATGAGCATCATGGGGAACGTCTTGCGCTTCCTGCCCGCGTTTGTGAAGATGAAGCAGCTGATCCAGGAGGGCTACGTGGGCGAGCTCTTGGTGTGCGAGGTGCAGGTGCACAGCGGGAGCCTCCTGGGCAAGAAGTACAACTGGAGCTGTGACGACTTGATGGGCGGCGGGGGCCTGCACTCGGTTGGCACTTACATCATCGATCTCTTGACTTTCCTCACCAGCCAGAAGGCTGTGAAAGTGCATGGGTTGCTCAAGACCTTTGTCAAGCAGACGGACCACATCAAGGGGATACGGCAGATCACCAGCGATGACTTCTGCACGTTCCAGATGGTTCTGGAAGGCGGCGTGTGCTGCACAGTGACGCTCAATTTCAACGTGCCCGGGGAGTTCAAACAAGACATTATAGTGGTTGGTTCGGCGGGCCGGCTGATTGTCATAGGCACTGATCTCTACGGGCAGAGCAACAGCTCTCCCCAGAGGGAGCTCCTGCTGAAGGACTCCACGCCGGTCAGCAACTCTTTACTGCCAGAGAAGGCCTTCAGTGACATCCCGTCGCCGTACCTCCGCGGCACCATCAAGATGGTTCAAGCCGTCCGGCAGGCCTTTGAGGACCAGGACGACAGGAGGACCTGGGACGGGAGGCCCCTGACGATGGCCGCCACCTTTGACGACTGTCTCTATGCCCTGTGCGTGGTGGACACCATTAAAAGGTCCAACCAGCTAGGGGAGTGGCAGAACATTTCGATCATGACCGAGGAGCCCGAGCTGAGCCCCGCGTACTTGATCAGCGAAGCCATGCGTAAGAGCAGGATGTCTCTGTACTGCTAGGTCCACTCGGCTCCTAGGAGAGGACAGGAACCAGAAAGCTCTGATGGGAAAGGGTCACGCAGCCCTTGGCAAGGGCTTGGGCATCTCAGAATCACCTGAGGAGGAAATTTGGTGTTTGGATCAGCTCAATCTGTTGACGGCTAAATACCAAAGTGGTGACGTTCTAAGAGATGCCCAGAATAGATAGGAGAGTTAAGAGCTGACATTAAACTGTTTTAATAACAGTATTAACTGGCTGATTAGCAAGATATATCATGGACTTGTCTCCTGCTTGCAGGTGCTTTAGATTATCCAATTGTGTTTACTGTGAAAGGTTGGGAAGGTCCTTTTAGATTTTCCTTACCTACCAGAGGGCTGTGAAGGTACTGTCATGTCATCAGGTTTTCTGTAGTGTCTGACATGAATGGTTCCTACCATGACAGCTGACACCACCATGCTGTGCTACCACATCTTTAATCAACACCAGAATAATAGGACTTAGTGGGAGTGTGGTGTGATACAGAAAATCTCGGCAGCTCACTTTTCATCTAGCTTGTGAGGAGCTTCTAGGTGTCGGGTCAGTTATGCTTTTTCTTTCTTTTTTTTTTTTTAAGCACAATTACATTGGAAAAATCTGGCTTTTACAAAGCAAGCAGCCCTCAACCACAGCACATTTGCCCTCTTATTGGGGGAGGGAGGGTTCCCTACCAGCTCGTGGTAAGCTTAAATGTTAACCATACGGATTTGCTGATTAAAGTCATTTGGGGAAGACCTTCACGAACAGCAGGGGCAAGGCCGCAGTAGCAGTGGTGGGGTTTTACTACACAGCTGAACTCAGGCTCGTCTTTTGAAAGTTTACACAGCTTGCTGTGTGTCTGGGACTGACTTCCGAGTGAATTCATCTCGCATTTTGCTTTTTGGTGGAAAACAAAAACCAGTAGAAATCCGACCGAACAATACGATGTTTAGACAGTCGGTGTTCCTTTAAATCTGTATGAACCTGCACTCGATACACACCAACACCTTATTTCCTATATCTCAGCCCCGAAGCCTCCACCTCCCACAAGAGGTGAGTGTGAATGGGGGAAAAGAAAAAGGAAAAAAAAAAAAAAAGCAAGGGATGAGAAAACATCCTATTACAGCATTTATAGGGGAAAAAAAAATAGAAATATCCCCACCTCTGCCTACTTTAAATGGCTACTGGTACTGCGGTTATTGTCCCCTGTCATCAGTGCAAGGGTGGAAAAATCCTTTTGATGTGGTTTTTTTTTTTTCTTGTCCTTCTTTCTGATATTTTAGATTGCCGTCTTGAAAGAATACAGTGAAAGTCACAGGAATTATTCCAGTAAACTGGGATACTGCTTTTCTGCATCAAGCTGCTGCTGTGCTTACATGTTTACAGCATTAGGTTCTCAGATACAAAAATCACACAGAAAATAGGACATCAAGCATATGGCACTCAGTTCTGTTAAACTTGAGCAAAACTTTTGTTGTTGTTGATTTTGACTAGGGGAAGGAAGAAAACATGTGACGGAGCAGTAGCTATTAAGAGAGCAAATACAACCTTCTGTCTCCAGGCAATCAGATTACTGTGGGCAGTTCAGGTTAGAAAAAAACCCAAGCAGAATATTTTGGATTTTTTTTGTACAGCATTTTTAGTCCTTCTATTTTTAGGAGCACTAAGAGCTTCTGTCGAGCCCCTACAAATGCTTCCATCCGACTGTTGTGTGCTCCTGCCCGTCACACTCCTACTTGGAGTGCTGTGTATTTTGGAATGGGGGGCATCAGTACTATGGTTAATCTTTTTGAGCTTGAGCCAGCTGGAAGTCAGGGATCTCATCCCCAGTATTTGTGCAGTGACACACTAGTCAATGCAAGGAGGAGTCTTCAGGGGTTGACTCAGTTCCTTCAGAGACTGATACAGAAGGAAGTGTCCATTGGAAATGTCGGCCCATCTCCTTTGGTTGTACAAAGAGTCATGGGTGCTTGCTGAGATGGCTTTTACGTGTCTAGACAGCTAAAACTAGGAAAATGGAATCCCTCCCCCAAATTAGGAGTGTGTTACAACTGTAATGGTACACAGTGGGATGCAGTTTGCACCCTGAAAATCACATGGATAGCTACAGAAGAGAGAGTTTGATCAAGAAACCATACGTCTCTCTTGACAAATGGTATTAGCCCCAGGGGGATCAAGGGGGTTTCATATGGTAAGGCAAAAAGCCTTTATTGACAACAGTGGCGAGTTCAGATCATGACTGCAGATCCAGTAGATAATTAACCATGTCTAGTTAAACATCTTTCAAAAGGGCAACTAAATGTGGACCGAAGCATTTCTGAGTGTCGTGCAGATTAGCAATTTGGCCGCTGTGCCAGGAATTGCTATTCATGCCCTCAGACCTAGGTTTGGCTTGCAAATGTTGACAGTTTTCCCCATGTGTATTTTCATTTTTTCCCCCGTATCCTTCTGTTTCTTTGTGATGCCAGCTGGCAGAAGATGTGCTGGAGCCGAGCCCCCTCGAGCAGTTGCAGTTGCAGCCTCACTGCCTGGGTGCAACGCGGTGTGAAGCGCCGCTGCTGCTGCTGCTGCTGCTGCCGCCGCTGCTGCTGCCGCCGCTGCTGCTGCTGCTGCTGAGCTTCACCTTGCTGCCCCAGATCCACAAGGGTTAGCTTCTCTGCAAACCCACTGATGCAGATTTTGCTGCTTAGTGGAAAAATAACCTAGATAACCTAACACGTCTGATGCTAGTATAAGTGCCACCTTCCATACGGGCCAAAGCCCTTGCAGCTCGCCGCGTGAGAGCAGTGCTGGCCCCAGAGCGGCAGTCAGGATGGGAAGGGGCAGGGTGGCACCTCCTCTTTGGACAGCAGTGTGGACCTTATCCTGGATTAAGGAGATGTGACCTAATTGGGACGGCAGCAGGAACTGCGTACGCTGAGGATTGCATGACAGTTTTTCCATTCTCTAGGACATAAAGGTGATGAAGTGTCAGGTGCAAAGGCACTAAATTTCCACCTGGTGCAGAAGAGGAGGAACTAGTTTATTTATAGAATGTGTATTACTATTCTGATAACATGCTACCTTATGCTCTGGGATCTTTTTGGCAGTATTGAGGCCTCTGCTCTTCTGGTACAGTTGGAAGTACATTGAATTACTCTAAGTAGCCTCTGGAGTTCATGCTGGGCAGCAGCTAAAAGAGATGAACTCAAAAGCGGCACCATACCAGGCCACATATATTTGGAACTGCACTTTTAATGCTGTTCTTTAATGCTGTGCCACAAGATCTGAGACGAATACTGCTAGAATTGGTGCGGGCCTAATAGCCAAGCAGAGGCGACTGCTGGGCTTTGCAGTAGTCCCAAAATGATCTGGTTCACACACTAGATAAGAAGTGTTCATTCCTTTTCCCAGAGCCAGTGTTGGGGAGGCTCTTTCCTTTGCCACGTACCTGTGCATCTGGGATGCTCAACAGTATGGCCTCTTGCCAAAGATGAAAAGAGCCAATGGGGCATTGAGCTGAGGAGAGAAACTCTATGATTTTCAGTAGGAATTGGATTGAGCTCCAGGCCCAGGTGAGGATAACCCTTCACCATGTCCCTGTGCTGCAGCAGGGCACAACGGAAATCCTTGCGTGCGCCCAAAGGGGGATGGCAGCAGCAGCAGCAGCAGCAGCAGCAACAGCAGCAGGGAGGGAAACGCAGCTCTGCATGTCTGGCCACGCGCACCCAGGGGCAGAACAACTGCGTGCCCAGAAGGCAGGGGCTGCCCTGGCCGTCGGGACGCCTCTGCCTCCCTCTTTGGGAGCCCACAGGGCAGCGCTGCCCCAGGGAGCAGCATCTGTCCTGTGCTCCCACCACAGCCACGTGGGGCTTCAAAACTGAGCTCCTTCAGAAACCTCAGAAGCTGTGGGGTTTCCTCTATCTAGTATCGTGCATGTGTTAGATGAGTAGTATTTTAGCTGTGCAGTTCGCAGATACCTGGCAGAGGGGATACGTCCTTGCCTTGCAGCCAGCGCGGCACAGAATCAGGGCGCGTGTAGCTAGCTTAGGTGCAGGCTGCCCCGCTGGGAGTCCAGCCCTTGCTTTGGCTGCAGGCACGAGGAATTCCTGCCCAGCCAGCACAGGGCACTCAGAGGCACTCTCCACTTTAGACTTTGGGATAATGTTGGAATCACAGCGATGGCACGAGGGAACAGCTGTCCTGGAAGTGCAGTCAAAAACAAATGTAGTAGCTTGATGATGTGGACATCCTGAAACTGCTAATGGCAGAAGTTCTTGTTGCTGAAAACTTAGTTTTGATCTATTATCCCTAGTGTAAAGCATCACAAATGACTTTTTTTTTTGTTCATTTTTTTGAAAAACACGCATCAAACTTTTGGGTTTGTGCAGATATTCAGCATAATTGAAACTCAGCACTGGCCTGTTTGACCTCTGCAGTGCTCTCTGGGTATTTTGGGCTAGTTGTGAACTGGCAGGCTTGTTCAGGACAGCAGTTTATTCTTGTTGTTGTTGTTGATGTCGAAGGTACATTTGGGAAGCAAAGTTTGTACATTTTAGAGATGAAGTATAACTGTAATAATTGCCAGTCCTGTTAGCGTTATAATTCCCTCTTTCTTGAGCTGCTGGATGAAGTCCATCCAGTGAAAATAATTCCCCCCAACAATAACTGCCCCATTCCATTTGCTCATGAGAAGAGGAATTTTAAGGAGACGGGACCATACATAATGCTGCATTCATGAACCGATGTCATAACCTCATGACTGCTGCTCTTACTGAGTGCAGGATGCCAGAGCCAAGACAAGGAATGACTTCTTGGAAGCTGTCAAATCACAGCACTGGGCTGGGGGAATGAAGGGCATGAGCCTAGGTCAAACTGCAACGGGTTTTATTTGTATTCTCAATTAACTGAAAGACTTTTTGAATTGATTTTTCCCCCCATTTTTAAAGAATGCTATTTTGAAATGAAAGCTGAGAAAGTTCCACATGGAACATGTTTTGGTATTTGTGAGAGGAGCTGGCATTTTCTCATTGCTGTTGTTGAGGTCCACGCTTTGCAGAGTCCCACCAGGAGGTTCTAACAGGCCCAGGGAGCTCGGCTGCCTTGGGCAGGTTCAGAGCAGGGCCTCGTGGCTCCGTTCAGAGCGGCCGGTCCAGCCTCTGAACCTGCCCGGCCGGATTTCATTTCTGCCTTGTGGCGTGGCGACAACCGGTTCATTAACTGGCACTAGCTGGAGGTAGTCGAGATGCTTCACACGGCAGTGCCAGCCATCGTCTTTTAAAGCACTTAAATCTCTCGACGTGTTTACCGTGGTTATTTATGACCTCCCAGCCATGTGCTATCCCAGACTTCCTTTTCTTCTTACACCGTCCTGCAAACTCACTTGCCTCCCCATGTGTCTCATCCCGTGGCGAGGTCTCTCTCGTTCCCTGTTACGTTGCTGTCAGCCTGTGTTACTCATGGCATACAGGGTGGCTAACGTTTGACTTGAAGCGACCTGGAATAGCAGGTCATTGCAGAACATGTTAACAGCACAACTGCTCCTGGGGATGGCCCAGGCGGAGCGCGACCAGGGCAGGGAGCAGAGCGCCCTGCTGTGCTTGGCCTGGCCCTCGTGGTTTCTCTCTCTACTGCCTTTCTTTTGTGTTGCTTTCGAAAATGAGAATATGTTCCATTTGTTGCTGTTGTCAATATTAAGTATATATTTATTGTTTTTCATACATACATATATATAAATGCTATATATATATATAATGTCAACGCATGGACATATGTACAGTAGATATTTTAAAGAGCTATTTATCAAGAAAAAATAAGTGTTATAAGTAACCAGAGTTTATATTTTATATATAATGTAGATAGCAAAAAAAGAAAAAAAAAGAAAAAAAAAGTGTTTAAATTATAGTAGGACTTTTGGGGACAGGGGTTGGGGTTTGGAGATGCGGACGAGGGCGGGTTCTAGCATTTTAAATAGCCAAACTCCTTTGTACGGAAGCTGCCTGCTGTGCCTCTCGGCTGCAATACCTGTCCGTCTCTTCTCCGGGAAGATGCTGTGCATTGTTACTTTTACATTGCTTGAGGAATGTAGCTAGTTTATTCTCAGCCAACTGGTATGTGCTGCTTAAAACATGGTTTCCTGCTGTTCTGCATATTTGCATCGATGGAATAAAAGGATCTTCAATGGCAAATAAAGACATGGAAGTCTGTGATCCCCGCTGTCCGTCATTTTTCTTCATGCTCGTGTTTTGTGTGGTGGAATCCGCCTCTCCACCAGCATCTCGGTTCTTCTAGGTCGGTGTCTTCAACTAAGGAATTAGCTGGTGAAATAAAAACAGAGTTTTCGGTATATCCTTGCCATCAACTTCACAGTAAAACAAGACTTTCTTCCATTTAAAAAAATAAAATACAGGATTCTTTGTAAGGCAGGACTTAGAGGAGAAATTACTGTGAAAGCAAGGCAGGGACTCTGGGATTAATGGTGCACAATCCAGAACTGTAGAGGTAAGCGCAAATGCAGCACTGGTTGTAAAATGCCACGCTAATGAGGCTATATAAATGCTAAAGTAAACATTCTGCAATGGGTGTCACTATATAGACGGGTCCTTAAGTGTCTATTTAGAAACCCAAGCGAGAGGTCTTTTTTGAAAGGAACTGCAGAAAGGTAGGTGAGAGGGAAACGTGCTGCTATTTTCTGCGGTTGTTGAAGAAACACAACTTGGTGTGTTTCACCAGCCTGTCCTGCAGTTTTCTGGAGGCCCTACTGATTACGGAGTAAAACCAACGGGTGGCTGGCTCAGAGCCATAAATATTAATCAGGAAAATGTTCAACACCCTGTACTGTTCCCCTTTGGGATGAGGAGTTAGCTGGAGCCGGGGTTGTTGTTACAAAGCGCTGCTGTGCCCAAGAGCAGCAGCACTTGATACCTCCCCTCGCGGCTGCGTCAGTGGGGGGAAGCCGCAGAGCACTCGGCCTGTTGAGAGCAGTGTCACGTTTCCTGCAGCCAAATGAAGGGCTGTGCCTGTATGGGTAGCCTGGTTTTAATTCAGCAGGTTAGTGTGCAGGCACATCAGTTCCCTGCTCTGATTCATCACAGACAATTATGTCAAATCATATTAATAGCAGGAGATAAATAGATTGCAGGCCTCCCAATTGCCAGAAATGTTTTCTGCTTGGTTCTGTTTTAGAGTATCACAACTGCAGAAACATAAACATGTCCAGAAGAAACAGAATGAATGCTGGAAAAAAAATAAAGTTTTATAGTTCCTTAAGGGAGGGTTTGTAAGTAATCAAATGCTCCCTAAGAAACTAGAGGCAGACTCCATCAGACGTAGATGCACAGTAACGTTTGCTGGGAAGAAGTGGAATATGCAGAGATGCTCGCAGAAGCCTTGCTCATTCCCCTGCAGCCTGTTTTAATAACTCTGTCTGTTGCAGTAAATCACATCTTGCAGAGCAAAGGCATTTGCAAGAATTATCATATCACACCTGGGCAAAGACGGCAGCCTGTGACTGCATCGGGCTTTGTAGCTCACGCAGAAACATTTTACACAGCTTTTCTGCCAGAACTGGAGAAACTCTGAGCTACATTTCAGAATATTAGAATGGCAGGATGGTTGGAAATGGAACTTGATTTTTAGTATAAAGCATTTGTTTTGGTGCCTCTTTCTTTCCCCGCTGCTGTCTGTAAATCGCTAGATAATTTTTAGCTTTGCTTTCCAATGGTGCTGTTTGTACAAGTGCCAGTGATGAAAAGAGGAGGTTAGGGAAGGTAACTGCCGCCAGCGAAGATGCTGGTCACCTTTTCCCCTTGGTATTGGTGCCAGAAGGGCACAGGAGGATGGCATTGCATGGGGGGACTGTGCAGTTTGCAGCATAGGGATTTTTTAGCTCGTTTGTTTTTTCTCTCTGACATGTTCAAAATTGAGCCTGCCTTCCACACAACACCTAGAGCAACTCCCAGGAGTGCTCCTGCAGCTGACTAATGGATAATGGAGATGGGCTATGATTTTTGGCTTGAGCTTGTCCTGGGGAAGCTACACACAAAAATATAAACATTGGCCTCTTCTGACCTGTTAAAGCAAGAGTGATTTCAGGTAAGAGCGCACGGAGTAACTGTGCACGGAGGTCAAGCACAGGCTGTTAGCAAGGCAGCAGCTCCCATCACTGCCTTGTGCTTCACCTACAAGCAATAGCCTTCTGACTGCAGTTTGCCCTTAACATTTTACATGAAACATTTAAAAATGATATTACTAACTGAAACACCGAACGCTATATCCTACCAAAAAGTCCTAGGGCTGCATCTATAGTAATTAAGTAAGCTGAGCTCATGAGTGTTCCTGGGCACTGAAAACTGATGCTTTATCATTTTAAAACGTTCAAAATGCCCCAAGCCAGACTTGGGCTTTAATCAGTGTACGTCCTTCCCTACGATTTTTTGTGGTGCAGTTTAGGAGCCAACGTACAGCAGGGTCACCAGGCAAGCTGCTTCCAACCACCTTCCTCTGGAAAATAAGAAATCAGGAATGGGGACATGGACCATTCTGTGCCAAGTGGCCCGAGTGCCAGAGAGGCTCCTGTGCACTTTATCTGCCGCTGTGGATGTCGCCGAAGAGTCAAGAACTGCATGATGCTGATATTGCTAATCTGAGCTGAACAACATTTCTTGTGTGTCTCTGTCACAGTGCTAGGAAAAACAGGTACAAACTGGGCTGGGCTTTTCAGTACATTATCGGTTAAAACAGACTTTTCTTTTTTTCTTTAATCCTCTTTTGTTTGCAGCTTCCTAATAGCAGAAACAATGGCATGCGGGACACATTTCTCTTTAGGGACTAAGTGGTCTGAGCAATTCAGCATAAAAATAAAAAATGCAATGCTGGAGGATGTGAAACTACATGCTGTTATTTTAAAATATGTATTGTGCTGCGTGATTTGCCCTAGAACTATGTTAGAAACACCACTGCATAGATAACTGCTCATTAGCAGTGTGCGTCACACCTTGCTTTCCTACGCGCCCCACACGGATATCAAAGCTGTATTTTTCAGTGAGAATTTTGAGGGGAAAAAACAAACCCACACAAATAAAAATACCCCACCCAGAACTCACACAGCCAGATTTCACAAGTCAGAACTTGGGATTAACCCTTGCCTATTAAAATAAATGATTTCCGATTGCTCAGCAGATCCTTCCCCTCAAACTAACATCTCACTTAGGAAAATTATTGTTTTCCAGCAGTTTTTATAACAGATCTCATTGACTTTATAAAGTGAGGTGCATGTTATTACCTTTATTTTGTCTTTAGGAAAACTGAAGACGTAGTGGCAAAGGGGGCTGTGCAAGGCCATGCAGAGCAAGACACTGAATCCTACTGCACTGATTTCTACCTCCCTTAAAATGGTTCTCAACTCTAACATAATTCTCATTCATTAAAATTAATATAATTGGCCATATATAGTTAATTTCTAATAAGCTGCTAGAGTTTGGGAGTGCCAAATCAGTTTGCATTGCTGACACAGTCCAAGTATCATAGAGAAGTGCTAGCAAACCCAAAGCCAAGAGCAGGGCATTTATCTGGGCATGTTTTGCCCAGTGCCATTGGGGAAGAGGAAGGACAGAGGCACTGTGCTCTCCATATGGTTATTTTACACATCCAACCTGATGGCATTAGGAGCAGATCTTGGTGCTATCTAGAAGTTGCTTCAAAATCCAAGAACCTGGAAAAGCCCAAGTCAGAGAGTGTGACACGGCAGCTCCTGCGGCAAGTTCTCAAAGGAACAGCCACGAGTTGTTACATGGAGATGCAGATGACAACCATCTTAGTGTAACACAGAAATCCCGCAGTTAAAAAAAATCCCGTGATTTTTATAGCTTTCCATTTTTCTGCATGGCAGCAACCAGAAAGCAAGATATTGGCAGTGCCCTTAAGGACTTTGGGAGCACAGCTCTAACAAAGGCCTGCATAGAAAGTCAGGATCAGGAAAGAGGTGGAGACCATTTGCTCTATCGCAAAATAAACATGTCAACCATTCCACTTTAACAGCTTGTCCTCAGATATTAAAACAAGCCTCAAAGCATGACTGATATGGAGTAATTAATTAGTCGCTGTACAATCCTTTAAATGAATCTGCTAACGAAGCGCCCTGAGCTCCACCGAAATGAGAAGCCTGCCTGTGTACAAGCTCTCCCCCTCCCTGGCAGGCAGCTTTTTCAAGGAAGCTGATTAAGCGACAAATGACGCTCTGCAGATAGAAGAGTTTGATTTAGTTGGATGTGATGCCCTCACCCTCACACCAGTTTGGTAAATGTTTGGTTCAAACATACAGGACCTGCACCGACTGTTCCCATCTTCCTCCAGGGAAGTTCCCATCTTCTCCTTGTCACATATCAGTCAAAGAGTAACCACAGCGAGCAGATAATTCAGGGCTGTTTTATTTATTTATTACTGTGCAGTGCCCCAAATGTGCCACACTTGCTGACAATACAAAGCGTGCTTTTAGTGCTATTTAAAACTTGCTACCCTTTTTTCTTTTCAGTTAAAAACACCAATCATGTCTTTAGTACAGCTATTGATCAGGTTTGCAGACGAAGAATTAAGAGTATGTACAGTTTATCTGTGAGGTTAAGCAAAAAAAAGTAATGACAATAACCCCCCCAAATTGCTAACGTAACCTTAAAGCAAATTCTATTTATTTACTTGTGAAGCAAGCAACTACACTTGTGATTTTCTCAGTAATGGCCTTGCGGCTCCCATATGTCTGCAGTGTCACCTCTGGAGAGCCCTCCTCGGGCAGGCTGAGAAGCAGCACAAGGCTGCACGCGGCTGTCCAGCTTCAGCCACTCATTTTTTGGCCCTGGGGCCTTGTCCTTTGCTGCCGTTTGGGATGTGTGCTCACGATTACCGAGGCGCTGCTGGGCCTGCAGACAGACCCGCTTCTGATGAGGAGCTGTCAGCAACAGTAAATTAATAACGTTAATATCTTGCTGATCCCTAGCACGGTGCCTGTTAGCTCAACTGTTTCTTTAAGGAAAATCTGCATCTGGCATAGAACGAATTAGTACTAACATAAATCGTTAGAACACAACTACAGCTTTCTAATCCACACCAACAAGGCCGAATAGAAATAACAAAAAACGACGCAGACTTAACTGAACTGGCTGCTCCGCGGACGTACCGTGTTTTCTCAGTCTGTTCGTCCCAGCAGCACGGAGCGGCTCCCCCATGTGCCACCTACCGACGGAAAACGCGCTGGACGGGAGCGAGCCGCACGTTTCACGGCCGGCCTCGCTCTGCCCTCTGCTGCTGCGCGGAGCCAGTGCCGCCGACAGCGCGGCTGCCTCCTGCGCCGGCTCCGCGCGGCTAACTGCCCCCGAACGGCGCGTAGCGCCTCCGTCGGTAATCGCACCGTTTGGACGTTTGAAACGTCTGGGTCAAGATTAATTTCAAAAAGTTAGGTTTTTGCTTATTTGCCTTTTTTTTTTCCTAGTGCCTTCATAATAGGTGACTCTGTGAGTTTAAGAAGCTTACCTAAGAGGCTTGCAGGTTGTGATTTTTCAGGGTCGCTTATTCAAGTGCCTGATGGTCGTGGTAGAAGTTTTGTTCCCGGCAAGGGTCAGAAACTCAACTCCCGTTTAAAGAAGCTGCCTGCCAGTCCTTCTAATTGTGCAGCTTAATGCTGGCAAGATCTCAAAGCTCGGAGAACAAGAAAAACAAGTAAAAACATGTTGTTAATTTGCTAACCCATGATTTTGGCAGTGTGGTTTCATTTCTGAGAGCTTGGCCTTGCAACAGCAAAGGCCTTGGCCCTTCATCTGTTTTAAGGGATGGAAATTTGAGCATCGGATTCTTGCTCACATATGCCAAGGCAAATCTTGCTTTTGGAAATCCCTCTTCGCTTCCTAGAGATTTTGCGAAATAAAGGATCCCTGAATAAATAAATGTCCGAGCAGACAGGCAGTAACAATATTTGCCATCCTGCTAACAGTAAATAACACAGTGCACACAGGATCATTCCTTGCAGACAGGATCATTCTTTGCTGTTCTTCTCGGTGTCAGTTCTAACATTTCCTTGCATCATGGAGCAACTCTAAGTGGCTGCTTTAAATAATTCTGTAATGGTCTGGCATGGCACCCTGATGGATCGTTAATCTAAACGCTTCCATACTGGACACAATCAGTTCTTCTACGGAAATGCTCAAACCTTGGGGCCGCTATGGGAGAGATATTGCTCTTTTCTCTCTGCGTGTAGCTCCTGGCACACCTAATACCACATTACGGCGAAGGGCAAGAGGGTGACACATGCTATCGTGTCCAACGGCACCTGACACAGGGTCAACCCCAACCCAGCGCTGAGAGAGGGCGCCATCAGCCACAACCCCGCCCCCGCGACCGTTGGCCGAGCGGCCGTTACGGCCCAACGGCCGCGAGCCCCGCCCCACCCCGCCGCGGCGGCGGGGCGGGTCTGCGCGTGCGCAGTGCGCGAGGCGCCGGGGGCGGCGCGCAGGCCGCGGGGCTCGCGGGGACAGTGAGTGGCCGCGCGGCGGGACGCGGGGTCGGGGGTAGCGCCGCGCTCACCCGCACCCCCAGCTTGCCTCTCCCGGCATAGCGGCAGCGTGCGCGGAGACCGGAGCGTCGGCTCTGCGCCCGGCGAAGAAAGTGCGTTTCTGAAACCCGAGATGCGACCAAACGGCCTCCCCTTCCTTCCCGTTTTTAACTGTTTAGCAAATCAAATGTAATGGACAGCGAGTGTAGAGCATTCCTCTGACGTATTAAATTAGTATTAAGTCAGCATTCCTCTGTCATAGTGTATATGGGTGTTTTTCAAGCAGCATCTGCGTTTGGCGACTCATCAGCTTGTTTTTTGCAAACCCCAGTGGCTAAGTGCAGCATAAACAGTGCCCACTAGCTACAAATTTTATTTATATATATATATATACATATATATATACACACACATATATATATATTAGAAGAGTTGAATGGCTAGCATCTGAGTTCTGCTTACAGACAGTCCTGCAATAATAAACATCCTGATAGACCATTAAATGCAATATATATATGTATCACAGTCATTTTCATAGATTTGAGGCATAAATGGAATGTTTTCTAAGTAATATAAGTATGTTTTCCCTTGTTCTTAAGTTCGCATTTGAGCAAACTGAGGTGGTGGTATTTCAGTCCTCTGTTGCTGTATGTTTTTCTGGCTGGTCTTGGCACTTCCAAGCTCTAAGTAGTGTTCTAATTTGAAACACAAATAGGCCTAGTGGATGCACAAAGTTAGGTATATGTATTCTTAGAAAAAAATGAAGCGTTTATTTGTTATCTGCAAGTGCTTTGTGCCTGTTTATGCTTTGGCTCAGCAAGGAACAGGCTAATGTCACTTGGAATGCCTTTTTTGTGCATAATTGCTAATCAGCCAAAACACACAAATTATTTTTCTTCACATTTCTATCGCTCTTAGCATTAAGATTGTTTCTGGCGCTTTGAGTTGTGAAGTAGAATTTTCTCCTATTTGCAAGATTGGAAGAATGAGAGAATTGGTGTTTAGGAGGCTGAACTGAATTGTAATGGCAATTGCCAGTTACGAAAAGCAAAGCTCTTAACTGCGGTTTATTCTTCTTTTCAGTATTTTGATGAGATCTTTTTCAGTGTTAGAATGACAAGCTCAAGACTGGCTGACACGACATGTTATGATGGCATGAACGTTTAACTCAAGACTGCAATTTAACAGCAAAATTTGACACCTTGCCTAATTCCTTATCACCTCTCTGCTGCTAAGGCCAACGTTGGTTTGCCCTTAGCTTGCCTGGTGAGTGTGAAATCCAGGGACTTCATGGATCTAGTTAACAGTTGTGCTTGACTAGGGTTGTGGTAGCCAGAATTCTCTCAGAATCTTAACAGCATATGTTGATCACAAAGTATGTGATCTCACATAAAATTTCAAGGGTCTCTTCTGCTTTAAAAGAACATATATTATCATATTATTATATGGTAATATATATTAGAATATGCTATTAAAAAAAATCTTGGAAGATTTTCTGTTCTGGACTTCAGTATAACATGAAAGTATTCTTGCAACTCATAGTGGGAATTATTTTTATCTTTGAAAGGAATTGATCATGGCTGATGACTCTCAGAGAAACTTCCGGTCAGTGTATTACGAAAAAGTGGGATTTCGTGGAGTTGAAGAAAAGAAGTCCCTGGAAATTCTCTTAAAAGATGATCGTTTGGGCAAGTTGATTTTTGTATTTCCTGTATTATTTTGAAGGATTTTTTTTCCTCACACTTCTTTTTTTTTTTTTTGAATTTATAAATGGTTCATTGCTTCTGTGCTTAGTACTCATTAAAGTTTTGCATCTTTTACCACTATTTCAATGTTAATACTGCTTGTCACACCTCTTACATGTTTTAGTTTAGTCAATCCTTTGAGTTTCAATAACCTGAGAGTCTAATTTTTAACAATTAAATCTGTATTTTAGATTTGGCTGCTTGTTTGATTATTATTTTTATTCTCTTATTTTTTATGCAAGGAAGGCATAAATGATGAGAGATAGCATATAGCAATAGTTTTACTGTAAATCAAGCCAAAATATATATAGTTTTCAAAACAAATATTGCTGCAGTTTATATGGCACACACTGTTCTTAACTGAAATGGTAGAGGTGCTTATTTTATGTATGATCAAAGTGTAAATGTCTCTCTGCAAATAAAAGATTTTTCATACTCAGGAATCAGAATCTGATAACAATATTTCAGATTTTCTTTAAGGTCACATTTATTTTCTTTTGTTTCTTTGCAGACATTGAGAAGCTTTGTACATTTAGTCAAAGGTTTCCTCTCCCATCCATGTACCGAATACTGGTGTGGAAGGTGCTTTTAGGTATGAAACATAATATTTGTGATTCTCTGGGTAGATATAATAGTAATAATAGTAATAGTAATAGTAATAATAATAATAATAATAATAATAATCATCATCATCATCATCATTATTATTATCATTATCATTGATATGTAATCATGTGTCTAGTTGTATCTGTTTAGCCTCCTCTTGCATTCACCTTATCTGGAGTGGTTATAACCCTGAATATAGTGCACATACCTTCTTTTGCAGAAGCTCACACAAATTTCTGTCTGTCCAGCTCTGTAACATCCAAGTTTGATTATGAAGTTCATTTATTAAACAGATTTGAAAGGTGGATGTATGAAAGAGTAACTGATAACTGACAAAATTCTCCTAAAATCAAATAAAACTAAGTTGAAATCAAGTTGTGATTCAACTTTAGAAGCTCAGCATTAATATGGAGATAAATATTTGTTCTTAGGAGGAGCTTGTGTTATAAAAGAATTTGGTTTGAGGATTTGTTTTGATTTTGCTTGTAGCTTTAAATGGTATTTGCCATTAAAGAAGCCATGGGACCAGAGATAAATACAGTATTCCCAGAAACCATAAATGGATTGAATTCTTTTCTTGCTGAAGTAAATTACTTGGATGACTAATTCAGAAAGTACTAATGTAAGTACTAATGCAAAAGTGCTTTGTAAGTACTTTGCAAGTAATTAGGTCAATAGGTTGGATATACTACGCTGTGAGGAAAAGCCACTTGGAGATGGGACAGGTTGTGGAAGGTTCAGGAATTCTCTTGAAAGATTTCTGCAGAAGTTTTCTGTAGCGTTGCTGTCTAAAGAAGCTGCCAGGCTGAGTAAGAGGTTGATTTTATGAGTAAATCTCTGGAATGGAAGTTTGATTGACCAAGTTGCTGGTGCTTGAGCATCACGCAGCATTTCAAAGCTTGAGAGCAGCACCCGTGCCGAGCTTGTGTTACCAGGGCTGTGCTCACAGAGGTGCTCCTCATCTGAGGTGCTCTTTGATCAGCCTCAGCCTGCAGGTTGTCTGGGAAGCTGTGTCTGCTCCTGTCTGTGAGCTCTCACTTCTCCCTAGAAAATATGATGCAGGTTTCATGGATATCATGAAGAAAAGACACATAGAGTCCGAAGGATTGGCCACTGCTGCCTCAGGTCATTGAGCAGTTAAAAAAACATTTTTTTCCTCAACTTCAGGTTATTTATATATGTTAGACTCTGTTATGCTTTTGAACAATTAACAGGGAATTGTCTATCCTCTGTCTTAGTTGAATTTGAAACAAATTTTAAATGATCTTTTCCCCCTTTTCCCTCCGTTTTTCTAAGCTATCATTTAAACTGTCATTTGGCTTGTATTCCTGCATATTTGGATTTGTATACCTTTTGGGGAGAGGTCGTAAATGAACAATGCATGGAAAGTGCAAGATCTAAATCAAAAGCTTGATCTTCTTGATACTGATCTTTGAACTGACAAAGTAACTCTACCTGATAAAAGCCTGAACAAGAGAGAAAATTTTAGTACGAAAAAAACCCTTGTATCCTTGGCCTTACTGTAGTAAAAAACATCTTTTAAAAATATTAACTGGAGGAAATACAGTGTACGTGATTTGGACAGTAACTTCCTTAAGAGCCTTCGAGCAAGAATGTAATGGCAAGAGTAGAGTCTCTTGGCAAGCTTGTAGAGCCAGCATTGTTTGTTGGCTGTTCTAGATAGGATCAATCATGTAAGTCTAATACAAAGCTTACGTGTTGGCCTCTTCTGATTTACTTGGATGGAAAGTTATATTGATATCTGGGTACACAAAAGATGAGAGAGGTTTTCAAAGTTTTTTTTATTGTTTGTTTTTTTTGATTGATATTTTAAAACCTGGCAAACAGCTTTATTTGAAGTACAGGGAACATCATGGTGTAGTGCATTCATCTGTCATACTGTGCATGCTTTGGGAGTATAGGTAAAAGGTAGAAGGAATTTTCTTATACTGCACTGTAGTGATAACACTCATTAGAAAACCTGTCAGGATAGTAGTGCAGAGTATCTGTCCCAAAATAATTAGAACAAGAGCCCTGCACATTTCTCTTCTAAATAATGTTTAGCAAAAAATTAAGCTTAACAAACAGGATTCCTTCCTGCCAGCGGTATCATCCCATAACGGGTGTTGATACATACAACGTATCAACAGCATAACAGGTGTTGATGCTGTCGAGGTTTCATGGTATGTGAGCGATGTCTCTTGTCAACTTCCTGTTCAAATATGACTCATCACAGTGGGCAGACTGCTCTAAAAACTGTTCTGGATGTCTCTGGGTAGCTAAGCATTTTTTTTTTTTTTTTTTTTGTCTATATAAGATAGTCTATTTAAGCAATATTTAAGTACTTGGCAGTATGTATGTATGTAGTTAGGTTGAGTCTTTTTGAATTGTATCAAAATGACTTGATTTGCTCCAGCTTTTGCGGTGCAGCCAGGTTTGCAGTGGGCAAATAAAAGATAAGTTTCTGCCTGTTGTGCTTGTTACTAAAACTGAGCCATTTCATGGTTTAACACTTGGCAACAATAATTTTTTTCTTTTAATGAGAAATGAAAGCAGCAGGTAGCCTGTTTCAAGGCTGATTTCTGAAGAACATTTTGTTCTCCATTTCTACAACAGAAAAATTTCTGCTCCGCTAGTGATACGGCAGTGGCTTTATTTATTTATTTTGTTTCGGTGTCTGTAAAATCTTCCTTTTGTTGAAGCTAGTGACAGTTTGAGTCTTGAGTGAAGGGAAGTATCAAGTGAAATGTTCAGTAACTCTTCCAGATATCATACAGAGCTCAGTTTTCTCTATGTCTTGTGCTGAATTTTATGAGTTGTTTTTTTTTCTCATAGGATAGAAGAAAAATGACAGGCACTTGGCACATTTGTGTTGTGCTGAGAAGGTCAAAAACCTGAACTTGCAAAGTGCTTGGGTGATATTTAGGTTTTAATCTATATTTGATTTAGCTGATGTGATCAATTTTCCCTTGAATGTTTTTTTAGTGAGTTAATGCCTGTGAGTGTATGCCAAGGGTGTTCCAGCAGAGATTTAATAATAAATGAAATAATAAGACTGAGATGCCCAATATCTTTGCATTAGTAAATTGCATGCATGTGTTCCTTGGACATTTTGTTGGATACCTAGCATGTGAGAGCAGAATCAGCTCAGGTATAATGCATCCACTCTATTTTCAAAATGAAAGGAAGCTAGGCAGAAATACCCAAATTGTGCTGTGTTTTTAAAACTACAGGTGAGTAAAAACAAGTAGCAGGTAAGATTCACAATTTAAGAATAAAGTAGATTTGTTGAAGAGAGAAAATAAATCATTCTCCTTCTATTCCAATAATGACATTTCTTGTCAGTGTACTAATATGGTAGATGGAAGAATTACTGTTCAGTTACACAAAACCTCATAGGAGAGCTTGAGAAACAAAAAGTAGGTTTTCCATGTGCTATTTGTTTTTATGAGTCTACCTCTAGTGTGCTGTCTTGGTCCACTGAGTGCTGGTATTGTAGGGTTTTTGCCTCTGTATTCTTTGACAAAGCTTCTGCAAGAAGTGTAATGCCAGGACCTGCATTTTTGTAGACTGGAATTGTATTAGGAATTGAAATCATGCAGATTTCTTAGGGAATTTGAATGCACTCTTTTGTCTCCTTACTTTTTTTTTTTTTTTTTTTTTTTTCCAGGGATTATTCCTCCTCACCATGAATCTCATGCCTTGGTGATGAAATACCGGAGCGAGCAGTACTGGGATGTATACCATGCTCTCCGTATAATTCGTTTTATCAATGATTCTACCCCACAGGTAGATGTTTTCCTCCGAATACATCAGTTGGAATCAGGAAAATTGCCTCGAAACATGGCTTTTCCTTTGGTCAGTTGTCATTTTATTTTTCTTTCAAATAATTTTATTTTTAGTTAGCTTCCTACTTAAGCCTGTTGAAAAATTGAGCTGTAAGTAGCTGAACAGATATACATAGATGAAGTGAGGTAGATGTAACAGAAAAACTAATACGAAATAAGTGATTTTAGTTAAAGTGTTTTTGTCTTTTTGTTCCTCTGATTCTTAGATAAGGTTTTATGCCTTAAAATAGCTTTTGTGTTTTTCTTGTGTACCCTGTTATACCTCAGACCTTGTGTACTGTTTTTTTTCACTGTAATTTCTTTATGACATAAAAATGACTTAATGTTACTGAAGCTCACAGATTCTTAAACGTCCTGGGGCAATGATAGTTCAGAAATGACGGAAGCAGCAATTTGGTGCAAATGACGTCATAATTACATCTGAATTACCTGTTTTTAATGTAGACTTTAATGAATTGGTCTTTTCTGCTAGTCTGTCTGATCTAGAGTCCTGTCAAGTACAGTATGTACTTTGTGGTTTACAGTACCCTTACATATAGATCAACACGTGTATAGTGTAATGGTAAGAGCAATGTGTGGATCCCGTATATGAGGATCTATGATAAACGGGGTGATGAAAGAAGCTGTGAGACTTGTTGACGTAGGTTTTGCTTGCCCCTTATTTAATGGTAATTCATCTGTGTTAAATCTAACCCTATTTATGCTATTTTTCGTCTGTAATAACCATATTTGATAAAAGAACTTGCATCATATTTTCATTTTGACTAGTAATGGACCATTAATTGCATCCTTTTTTTGTGTAATTGCCTGTACTAGCTTGCAGGCTTGCTTGCTTTTCTCATGAACTATTACTGTTGTAAAGAGGGTATCCTGAATGAGTAAAGTTACCGTGGATAAAGTTATCCAGCTATGCTTGTTTGGCTGCAGAAGTGCTTTTCCTTCTCTTTTTTTCCTGTTATGCCGGCCAGTTTCCAATGCAGTTGCTGTCCTCTTAAACTTGGAGACTTATCTCAAACCAAATAATTTTCTTTTTGATTTAAAAAGAAAGATATGTTTGTCTTTTCTGCTTTAACCAGTATCTGTTGCCCAGTGCTTTGCTTAGGGATGTTAGAATGGTTAGAATCTATGTAAATTGATTGTCTTTTTTTTTTTTTTTTCCCAAATAGAATGGAAAAGAAATACGATAATTTAAATCAAACAGTTCAATACTTCTGTATTCACCTTTTTGCTTTCTCAGGAACCTGAAGATGAAGTGTTTCTTGCCATTGCTAAAGCAATGGAGGAAATGGTGAAGGATCCTATAGAATGCTACTGGCTGGTTAGTTGCTTTGTGAATCAGCTGAACAGCAAGCACAAAGACTCATTACAGCAACTGGTAAGAAGTTATTTTTCTTTGTTTGAGCATAGAGATAGAGATGGGGAGGAAGAAGTCACGCCAACCATGTTTGTTGAGCATTTTGGAAAGTTACTGTGCCTAGGTGCTGGTGGAGTGCCAGAGGGGGTTTCTCCTGGATCCTGCTTTGCCAGTAATTTTGAGAAAATGGGAGTAGTGCTCTAGCACTCTAATTTGTACTGCCCTGTAGGATACTTTGTCTAGTTTAACATCAGAAATTGTTTGCTACATGCAGACTTCAATTACATCTTACTTTTTAAAATTTAGCTGTTTCAGTTAACGTAATTAAACTTTTTAGGATGCCTCTCCTGCTTCCACAGGCTCACTGTATTATAGTGAGACAAAGTAGAGTTGTGCCAGTTTATAAATAGGTGCAGTGGTACTTGGTGTCTTCGGAAAAACAGTATTTTGCAAACTAAGTTACCACAGAGTTCTCTAAGCATTTTATGTTCTTATAGACTACTAATTTTGAATATTTCTCTTCCTGTTTTGTACCTTTTTAAGAGAACGCATACTTACAAAATCTTCATTTATATGAAGGCTTTTGTAATTCTTCAGATACTCTTAAAGACAAGAAATCTTTTAGTTAGCAACATCCGCTGAGGTGAACGTACTTGAGGATCTGTACATTAGCAATCATTGGAAGAAGATTCTTTTCAGAATAGTAAGGATAGGTCCTTTGTTATTCCTTTGGAGCTAGGCAGTTCATTTAAATTGCCTCTTGTTGCTGCAGCTATTACATTCAGCTATACCTATGCCTTTAATTCTTTGTAAAGGACAGAGGAATATTTCTGAAGAATATACTGCCATCACAAAGGGATGCCAAGTGTCTCCCTGTCTAGTTTTGTGTTACAACACATACACTGTACCAAGACTCTGGACATTAGAATATGGACAAAGGAAATATTTTCCTCTTACAGCTGAAGTAATTAGCTTTTTCTCTAATTATGACAAAAAGGATAAAAATAATTTTAAATTTATGAAAATGTGTGTTGTGTTACATTAGACTTGAAACACAAAACAAGAATTGTTTATTTTGCAGCCTTACCTTATGCTGCTCTGTTGGCTTTTCTAAATACTTCGGATTGTTAAAGAAGAAATCAATGCCCAGTCCTTAATGTATTGCACAGGGATTTACTTTGAGAATTGATTTCCTTGGTTTTGCTGGATTGTGTGTAGGTTTCTTGGATGAGTGCTAAGGGGATTAGGTTTGTGGGGAATGAACTCAATTTTATTTGTGATGGTAGGAGTAATTAGTGCAGGTTTAATCTCTGCATTGCCTTAAGCTCTGAAATACCTTGTTGCTTAGGGAATTCTGCATATATTAAAAGTCCTGCTTGTGGTCAGCAATTTAGGGAACAGGGGGAGTTTTTGTTCATTAAAGTATCTAATTAACTAGTTGCAAAAATCAGCAGCACCTGTATCTTGGGTCAGGGTTTTTTTTGTTAAAATGATGCAAGTTCAGTATTTTAGCATATATTTATATGTAAATTTATTTTTTAATCCACTGTTTTCCAGTGTGTGTTAGATATGAAGTGTACTCTGACATGAGTCATCTGAATTTTCCAATTCCTTTCTCAGCCAAAAATTCTGGAGCAGTATTTGAACGTTGAAGATAACAGACTCCTGATGCATCTGAAAGCATGTTCTGCAATGAGCAAACTTCCTTACCATCTCTGGTTTAAAAAGTGCTTTGCAGGCTGCTTACCTGAGTCCAGTTTACAGAGGTAAGTTGTCTTTATTTTCTCTTTAGTTTATACTCTCTTAGTAGCAAACAGTTGTACTCTGGTAGTACCAGCTTCTTGTTGCCACCAGCAGCTGAGCTCCCCTTGCTTCATTTGTAATGCTATGGAATTGACTCAAAACTAATGCTGATTTGGAAATGATTCAATTCCACTTGTACTGATGCAAGATAATCTGTGTGTGATCATTTCTGATACTGGAATTAAAAAAGAATGAAGTTAAATGTAGCAGATGATTATGTTAAGCATTCTTTCCTCTTAGGATTTAAAACTCCAAATTCCTATTTAGGGATAGAGAGCTGCATATAGCGAATTTTCAAGCTTTTTAACTGAGATCCTTGCTTGGGGATTATACTTTATTATCAGATTTAAAAAGATTGGGGAGAATGTATTAAGGCAGGTTCAGTATTACAGTATTGATGAAGTGATTCATAATGGGGGATTCTGCGGTTGCAGATTTGCTGTCTGGCTTTTAAAATGGGAAATTGTCAGTGCAGGGCCTTTAAAATGATGCTTGTATGATCCTTCTAATTCTGCCATCTGAGAACTCCAGGGTAATGGAAAATTCAAGCTAGATGAAGAGTATCCTTTCTGCATTCACAAGGGAATTGCTAAGAGCAGAGCAGGAGTTGGGTTTGAAGGAGAGGATGGTTTTGTTTTCAGTGACCCCTTAAAAATTTGAGAAGCAACAAGAAGATTCAAGGGAAGTTATGGCTGCCTTTTAGAATATTTTGTTTGCCCTTAGGAAAAGAGGGGTTTTTAGAGAACAAGCTTTAAGATTAGGCATCATGCTCTCCAGTCTTGGCATTACCTTGTGGCGCTTATTATATAGCAGTTAGTCTTGTCGAGCACCTGTGAAGCTGTAAAATAATCAAGTACAGGTGTGTAGTGTTTGGTGGGCATTTTTATTCCTTAGTTTTGTGAGTGGAGTAGCCATGTGTAATTTGTTTGTTGCATCCCTAAAAGCAATTGAATGATTTATGATTTGCCCGCACCTCCCTCATATTTATATTTGAGGGATAATTTTATTGTCAATCAGTATATTGACTCAATATAAAATATTATCTAGATGTACTGCTTAAGATATTTTGAAAATTAAAGATATATTGCGTAAAAGTGTCAAAATACTGTTTTTTTTTCCTGTCACTGGAAATCAATGTGATGGAGCTTCAAACAGCACTGCAACCCCACTTCCCAACAGTTTGGATTTGGGAAAATGCTGCAAGTGCACCCGTCCTTGTCTGTTTAGGTTTCTGAATTATTCAGCTGCAGTCATAATGGCTCATTTCCTAAGGAAGTAACATACTTTCCGGGCAGCATGTGACAGATGAACTTAATTAATGCTTGCAGCTTGCTTGATTTAGAGGCTAGAAGCCCTGATGCTTATCTGAAATGTAGCCGAACGGCAGTACTGAAACTGCTATGGACTGAAAACAGGTCTCCAATTCTCCTGTGAGTTTTACTTCTTGTGTTGGTCAAGTGAGAGGTGATCTGAGCTCAGTCTACTATGGTTTAATTTATTTTACGTTTTAACACTGCCTTTCAAGGCAGCTTGTTGCCTTGACTAAGTCGCAGTGTTCTCTGCCAGGCAGCTAAATATAAATCACATCTTTGTCTGACTTCATTTGTTTGTCCTCTGACTTGCAGGACTTTTGCAGGCTATGCCAAAATTTTATCCTTAACAGTGAGATGAAGTATGCGTGATACCAATTTTATTCCTGACATGTGTTTGTTTTTCAGTACAAGTACTGCTTTATATTGCACTTCTAGTGCTAACGTGGATAAAATTTGTTCATCAGTTTAACCCAAATTCATTGGGAAAACTTTGGTAGACGAGTCTCAGGTAGAAACATTTTCTTTTGGTCTTGGGCAAAGCCTGTGTTTTGCTAGTGCACTTGGCGTATCCCGCAGCAAGGTTCTTCAGCAAACTTCTTAGAGCTTGCTGTAAAGTGAGGAGCACACCAATCACTTGCAGGAGCCTGGGGGAGAAGTAATTCCTCAAAGCTCTATATCCAGCCTGGAATATAGACCCAGTGCTTCCTGGAACGTGAGCCTGCCTGCAGCACCGGCTTGCGAGGGCCAGCAAGGCTTGTTCATCCCTGAAGAAGAGAGGGAATGGGATCCCTGCTCTTGTTTGCGCTCCCCGTGCTCGGCACGTGTTTGGGGAGCGCCGCGTGCCGAGAGCTCCCAGTGGCGCCCGCCGTGCGGGCAGGCCCTGCTGTTGAGCCCTGCTTCCCTGCTTGGGGCTTCAGCTGCACCGGCAAAATTGTCGCTTCCTGCCCCTTTATTCCAGGCCTGTCACCCTGTGATCCAGCTACAGCAGAACTAGTGCAGCTTTGCAGACACCGCTGTGTGTAAACGGGCTGTTTTTATGGCCCAGTGTTGCCGGTGAGGTATCACATCCCTGGCTAATGTTGTTGGTAGCTTGCACTGGAGACCTGAGCAGGGGTGCAACTAGGTTTTTAGCCTCTGGTAACTTGTTTGTCACAGAGTACTCAGTAATTGTCCTGAAACTGGGTGACCGCATTTCAAAACTGGCTTTGCCTCGTGTATTCAGGTATGGCTTGTATAATTTTGCAGCTGTGATCTCTGTGTCCAGCATGAGTTACATCCCTTTGTAAAAATGAGACAATTGCTAGTAGAATTAACAGAAATATGAAGTACTTTAAACTTACTCTGAAATATGAGGGCACTAGTGTGCCTGAGGGCTGCGGCTACAAAGAAATTGGCTGTGTGATTCTTACCTGCTCACTGCGAATGGGTTTATGCTGGTGTCACAGCTGTAGAATCGTCATGGTTGGAAAAGACCTTCAAGATCACCGAGTGCAACCACAAGCCCTTCAACACCACCCCTGCTAAACTGTGTCCCTAAGAGCCTCTTCTGCATATGCCAAGGTCCACAGTGTCTCAGCTTGCAAGCAGAGGATATTGACTCAATAAGCTGCATATTAACGTTGGGATTGTTTTTCAATAGTTTGCACGGCAATGAAAGTCAACTCAATTGACTGTTCTCTGGAGGAAGATCATGCCCCTGCTGCTGCTGCTAGTGGAGTTGTGTGGGCAGTAACAACGGCTGGGAACATTAAAGGGAGAGAGAAAAGGGCAGCAAACACAGCTGGTTAGTGACAGCATCCACTTTGCTGCGCGCCCTGTTCCAAAGCTTGTTAGAAACTTGTTGGAAACGGGATTGAAATGTTGCTCCATCTGATTTGCCCTCGTTAAAATACTTGTAAAGGGACTAAATAATACAGGAAAACATTAGAGTGGTTTCAAAGCATGTTTTTTACTGTAATGTGGAGTAATTATGGAGACTTGAAAGCAAAATAATGAAAGAAGGCTGAATATTTGTTATTAGGATAAGTAGGTGTGTTTTCAAATGATCGAATTTGGAGTTTGGAAATTCTTTCCTGTTTTTGAGGTCTCCTAGTCCATATTGTCATGGGTTATTTCACTTCTGATGCCCATGAAATACTTGGGGAACTCTTTTGGGGATTAGAGCCAGATTAGCTTCTCCGGGAAAATGTATTAGAACTGAAGGGAAACGACCTGCATAGAATGGAACAGAAACTGTGATCTCCGTGCTCTCATCCCTTGCTTAAAACATCTGCACCCACCTTAACATGAGTATTGCATTAACAGCAGGCACTTGTGCTGGGGTGCTTGAATAACAAGGGAAGCATTAAGAGTTTTATCTTGTTTTGTTTATCATGCCTGTCCTTGTGGGAATTATGTGCTTTTTTTAATCACAAGACGGGGAATTAAAAGTTAAATTGTAAAAGGGGGAAAAAAAAAAGAGGAAAAAAAGTTTTCTTTTGAACAAGCACAGCCCAGATCCCAGTTTGTAGTTGGGCTGCAGGAGTTTTCTGTTAGTGGTGGTGTACTCAGAGAGGTGCCCAGAAGGAGCCTGAACAATATCCCTCCCAAAGTCTTTTTGCCACAGCTCTTAAAATTCCAGGGCTAAAAATAATGCAGAACCACAAAGCTGCCATCCGACAGATGGTTTCACCCTGCTCTTGGATAGTCTTTCAGCCCGAGTCTGTTCCCTTGGGCCCGAGATGTTGCTCCTGGCTGAACGATGATTTTGGAATTGGTGCAGGCTGCTTTAGCAGAGTATATCCCGTTTGATAGTCCCAGAGGTTCTGTGGCTAAGCTGCCAACTGAGGCCTATTCCTCAGATTTCATTAAAACTCCAGGTCCAGGCGTGGTGTCGTGCCAGTTGTTAGGAGTGTTTTGGTGATTTTGAGAGAGATTGTGCACAGTGGAATGGATTGGAAGGGCTAATAGCTGTTTGTTGTGTCTAAGGGATTATATTCTGCTGGTATTTTTATATTCATCAGGAATTAAATGCTGCCGTTACCACATATTTATATGTCATGCAGCAATGATGTGGAATATTTAACCTCTACAGATGTGGTTGTGCTCTAACTCATCCTTTCGAAATTTCAGCTGCTCAACCACTTGAAGAGGGTCTATTAGGTGTGCAAATAAACCTCGTTTGACTTTTTGCGCCAGGAAACCTCTCACTTTTACTGTAATAGAACAGTTACCACAATTCAGGCAGTCAAAACCAGGTTTGCTTTAGGTGTTTGATCTTGTAGGCATTCCATTTCTAGGCAAGGCTTCTGTGTGAGTCCTACCAGTGCCATAGGTATTAATACATTTCTGCTTGCCGTCAGTGCAGTCTGCACAGGCTTAGCAGTTGATAATGTCTTTTCTTTACACGAACCTGAATAATTCAATACATTGCTGTTATTCAGAAAAAATAATTTGGAAAAAGTGATTGTGCAAAGACATTTCTGGCAAATAATTAGGCAGATAAGAGCAGTTCAATAATATTTAGTTGTTCTGTTTTTTTCCCTAGAGTTTGGGACAAAGTTATTAGTGGGTCCTGCAAGATCCTGGTTTTTGTTGCTGTGGAAATATTATTAACTTTTAAAATGAAGATATTAGCACTGACTACTGCAGAAAAGATTGCACAGTTTTTGGAAAATGTAAGTACTCCTTTGTACTTTGTGTTGCCTTTTGTGGTTTACAAAGGTAGGTTGTTGCCTTCTGAAAGGTTTTAGGATTTGGGGAATGTTAAGCTATATCTGACAGTATTTCTGCAGAATACCAAAAAGTTTTTCTAGGAAAGTACGTTAGGTGCAAGTGGATTATTTTTTTTTCCAAACCTCCTTACAAGGTTGCTTTCTGTCCCCTTTCTTGCTCCTTTCCTGTGCCAGAACCTGCAGGCCCTGTGCATGGTGCCTGTATAGATGTAGCCTGGGGCTGTGAACCTGACCTTGAGCTTTCCTTCCCTGGGCAGCAACGTGCCTGGCACAGGGTTTAGGAAAAGGACGTGACCCAGGTCAGCGAGACTAGAAATGTCTGTGGCCGTGGATGGCCCGTCTGGGTCCCGGCAGAAGTCCATTCATGTGGGTGAAATGAGACCTGCCTGGTGGTGCTTTTACCTGTATCTTAAGTAAAGGCTTTGTGTGGAGGCAAGACAGTGCTGCACTAGCCTAAGACCTATGGATAGTGTGGAGTGGGCAGGCCCAGGCAATGGGAGGATGGGATAAAGAAATGGAACTTTTGAAATATTTTATTTGAAACAAAAGGTCCAGATAAAACACGTGTGACAGAACGGCTTTTCCTGATCTGTTGCAGATTCCTCAAGATAACACGGATGCCATTGTCAGCAAAGCTGTCGATCTGTGGCGCATGCACTGTGGGACTCCAGCACACTCTGCCTGAGAAACCTCTCGGCTCCCGACGGTTGGGAAAAGGCGACTTTGGAAAAGCCTCCTGGGACCTCTCGGTCCCCATCATAGTGTCGATAGCACGAGCTCCCCGTTTCCTGTTCTCCATAAAGATGCCATTAGAGCATTTCATGGCATAGTTACCAACGTGTAAATATTTTGCAATAAATATGGATGAGATGAAGATAATCCAGTAGTGGCATGATCACGTGCAGACTGTTTCTCTGCAAGCCAGTTACAGTACTCTGTTTGCACAGAGTGGTTTAAGGCTTTCAGGGCAGTAAGTATAACTCTCAAAATCCTTAAGAAGTATTTTCTTCCTACCTGTCCACCAGCCCTCTCTGTCTGTGGAAGATGCTGTAAGAAGATGGATGGATTCAGTTCATAGTTGAGGTCAACTTGAATACTAGTATTTGCAAACCGTGAGAAGGGTTCTCCCATCTCCCAAGTGTGTAGTCATTGCTAAAATTGTAGGGTTTATCGCAGGAGGAGTCTCTGGGATGACTGGGTGTTTGGACACTGGATGCACTGAGGAATTACTATTTGGAAATAAAATTGTTACCTCTGTTTCTGAAATAGGCACCTCAGCCACCTGCAGAACTTGCAGCCTTCCCCTTTTGTGTAATGGGAAAATGAATGTGGCCAGGGAGTCCTCATCTCCCCTGGATTCTTGTACACATAAGGACGATGCCCCTTTTCACAATCACGCATCTTTCTGAGAATGCCCATCTTTGTGGCTGAGCTGTGGCCATGCTAGCAGCAAACAGCATCGAGAGGCCTCCGTGTTGGCTGCTCGCTGTCGGCTCTCAGCTGCAGCCGGCTCCCCAGAGTGCCGCTCCGGCAGCGGCGCAGGGACACGGGGGAGAGCGAGCCTTGTGGCGCCCCGCACTGCCAGGCAAGGCCTGCGGCGAAGAGGAGAGCTGCGAGGAATTGGAGTTGCCTTGAAATACCGACTTGATGATGAACTCGCAAATTCACGTGATTTTTGCTTTTAAAAAGTTATACTTTGGGCTGTGGAATAGCTGATGTTGACACAGGGCTGCTCTCTCAACCTCGCTACATAGAGTCCTGAAGGCTGGCACAACAGCAGAGGTGTCAGGCGGAGCTGCTGCTACCCCAGCCTGCAGCAGCTGCTACACACAGTCTGTCAGAGCCCTTTGGCAGCACCCAGCAAGCCACGAGGGTGCGGGTGGAGTGTCAGTCAGGGAGCGAGTTCGCCCCTGATCCTACTGTGGCCTCGACAGAATGATGGTTTCTCTCTCTCTCTCTTTTCTATTTCCCCTCTAAGCTTTGTGGTCAATCTGCTATCACTCTTGAGACATTCCGGCTGCAGTCACGAAGCAAAAGGTGATTTGTGAGGATCCCTGCCCCGATATCTTGCCCCAGGCCTTGAGGTCGGGTTCCTCACAGCGCTGCTTCAGTACAAAACAAAGCTAGTCAGCACGAGGAAGAGGCGCTCTTGGTCAGTGACCCCGAGGAGGTGACCAAGGGGTCGCTCCCCTGCAGGAGCCACGTGAAGGTTGGCAGGTTCGAGAGCACAGCCCTGGACCAAAGCCAGAGGAGCTGTTAGGGCCAGGCTCTTCACAGAGGTGCATGGTGGGCAAAGGGCCTAAGCTGAAATTAAAGATTCAGCCTGGGTTTAGGGAAACCCCTTTTCCCTCAAGACAGCCAAACGTGGAAGAGGTTGTCCACAGAGGCTGTGCTGCAGTCTCTTCCTTGGAGCTTTTCGAGACCTGACGAGATACGGCTCTTGGCAAGCTGGTGTGGCCCATAACTGGTCCTGCTTTGAGCAGGATGTTGGGGTGGAGATCTGCCCATGTCCCTTGAACCCTGAATTGCCCTATAACCCTCTCCTAAATGCTATAATGTGACCGCTGTCGAGTGCGAAGGCTTTCAGTGGACAGAGTAAGTAGAGCAGTAAGTACAGTACCTTCTGTTCTCACACCTTGCGTAGACCAGTGAAGTTTCCATAAAAACGTGCCACCTAGTTGTGGCCGACTCGGCGAGATGCTTGCTGCCGGGTATGTGCATTGCCTCTCGGGGGAAAATCTTTCCACCTGCCCAGCTTAAACGCAAGAAGACAAGCTATGGGTCCCATATTTGAGCCTTTACACCTAATAGTTAAAAAATCCCTCCCAACCCAGCACTGCTGCTGACATCGAGGCCACGTTTGGTAGATGCCTCTGGGGCTCAGGATCAGTAGCTTTCGCGTGAGGAGCTTTCACCATGTGGGGACTGGGCAGTGCCAGGTAGTGCCATTGCCTCCAGCCCCACCAGTTAGTTCCCCAGTCTCAGCTTCACTGAGGGTGCCAAACCACCTTCTTTTCCTTTTCTTCAATCCCTAAAAGCCTTTCTTGAGCAGCAGATGGGTTCCAGGGCTATCCTGGCAGGCAAAGATGCTCTCTGCCCATGAGCTACAGTCATTCCACATGAACATCTCAGTGTCTGTGGGATGGAGACACATGCGGTCCCATTTAAATGTCAGCTGGAATTCAGCTGCAGCTTCTCCAGTTTGCAGTGAAAGGAAGGAGAAGGAGTGTTTCCTTGAGTGAACACATTATTTTTACTTGGCCAGACTCATTAGCTATTTGATTTTCCTCTGTGCTGAAGGAAAGGAGCTCTCCCGGAGAACACTTAATGGTTTAGCTCTGTTCTTCTTTCACTGACCTGATAAAAGGCAACTGCATTTTATCTTAATGAATCTGTTTCCAGCCTTTCGTTGTGGATTTATGAGGGACACAGTTTGTGCAGAAGACTGACTGATATGAATTCCCCAACGCCTGAGATGATGAGTCTGCCCGCCCACACGCTCAGTTAGGTTTTGATGATGCCAGCTTAGCTGGATATAATGCCCTAGCTCCGAGACCTGCCCTGGGGAGAGCAGGAGAGAAGCAAGAAATGGGAATATTCATAGCTCTGCCACACGCCAAGGAGCACGACTAGGTTCAGCAGCAGCATGAGGTCCAGGTTGTCTTGAAAGGCCAAACTGAGACCACAGCTTGGGAAGCCAAGAGAGTGAACTGCCCCCTCTCCACACTCCAAAGAAAAGGAAACTTCTCAGGCTATGAAAACATGAAAAAATAATCTTAACTTGGACCAGTTGTCCCCTCAAGCAGTACTTTTTCTCCAGAGCGGTTCTGGATGCTGCAACATCTGCCCTCTCTTGCCACGTGCAGCAGCTCTCGCCCTGCTGAAGACCAGACGTGTGATGGGAAGAAAAATACTGGCAGATGCCAGTGGAGGCTGTTTGAGAAATGGCAAGTGGTTTGCGCTCTAATAAGGACCTTCAGAGTATGGAAAGAAAAACGGCAGCATTGTGAGAAAAGGGGCTGGGAGAGGGGATCTCCAGGGCTGCTGCAAGTAGTGGTGACAGGGAGCAGGTCACGGATCATCACACCGGCATGTCCCATCCTGGTGAGTGCAGTCCGTGCCTTCCTACAGGCACAACTTTTCCTGAAGCAGCTGCGAGCAGCTGCTAGTGGCAGCACAAACGCAGTTTCTGAGCTGGTCACCAGGGGCTGCCTGTTCCACGGAGAACTGGTATTTCTCCACTCGCCTCTCCCGTTTCTGCCTAAAGATGCCATCAGATTGCAGGGTGATCGCCAGCAGTTGCATGGATGTTCCTGGGGACACCTGCTTCCCTTCTCCTAAGCCAGTTCTGAGAAGTGCTTCTGCTTAAAGAAACAAAAACAAACCCCCAAACTCAGGTGGGCACCCTTGTGTAGGGATCTCTGTGCACAAGGCAGAAAATGCCCAGTAACCACAGTGTTATGAACGTATTCCAAGTCCTTCAACTAGGCCAGCAATGAAAAGCAGCTGAATTTGCTCAGCCCTTTTGCCTCCCCTTCGTGCGGAGCTGCTTGCCCCGGCTCACTGCAGCGAGGTGCTACGGGCCAACAGTTTCTGGGACATCGGAATTTTTGCATCGTGAATTATGGGGAATAAACAGCCCGAGAACAGTTGAGGGTTGCACGGTTTGAAGGCACGTGCTTGCTCTGGCAGAGGGAGCTTCTCCCCTCCCACCTCCCCTGCTCACTGAGCAGAGGCTGCAGCTCGCACCGCTCCAACGCGCTGCAGGAAAGAGGAGGACGGTGACAGGAGAGGAGCTGAGCTCAGCTGTGGCCACTGCAGGCACCAGCTGTGGCCCCGGAGCCGCAGGGGCGCGGGGACCTTCGGCGAAGACCTTCTGTGACAGCATCAGGCACTGGGACAGAGGGTAATAAAATACACAGGCACAGGAAAGATTTCTCTTTTTTAAGGATTTTTTTTTTTAAGAAACTGCATACATCAAAGACAAACAATAATTTAAATACCATGCAGTTTCAGTATGTACAAAAACTAGGACATAGAGATCCAGTTTAATTTCTTTCTAGTTATTTACAGGGTTTTCATACAGCCATAATCTGTTAAATTACAATACTGGAAGAGCACATGATTGACAGTCACCACACTCACTCCTATACAAAGACAACCTATATACATATACTTGGATATCAACTGGAAAATGCAACTGGTGCTGGAGTACCTGGGACACATGGGAAAGCAGGTAACCTGCCCGCCACCTCCTCTTTGCTTACAGAAGCTGTTCCAAGCTCGAGCAGACTGAACACCTGGAAAAAAAAATCATTTGTCTCCCCCTTTGCTTGCCTGATTTTTACTAGCCTAGTCGTCTCCCATGGCTATTTATACACGGTGATTTATTTTATTTGCAGGCACATTGGGGAGCCCCTGTTCGCACATGACTGCGGGTCTCCTCCTCACCCGCCTTCTGCGGGCGCCAGCCTCTGCTGGGCACGTTGGAAGTGCTTTCACCCCGTCGCCTTGAGGGGTTCCCTCTGGAGAGACGGCACTGTCGGAATAACGAACGGTGAGTTTGGTGACTGGTCACAGTGACAAGCAAGTGCTGTGGTTACGCGTAAGCCTGGGGCTGAAATACGTTCCTGTAACGGGCTCACTACCTAGTTCCAGTGACCATAAAGTGATTAAAAAAAAAGAAAAAAAAAAAGAAGAAAAAAGGCCATTATATTCTTTTTCTCCCTCTTCTCTTCCAATAATGCCTAGAGAGTGCACTAGAAATTGCATATATGCAAATGCCAACTTAAGCCCTGTCCCAGAGAACGTGCAGCCTAAAGGACTTTTTGACCTGCAAGTGCATAACCAGCATGGGGAAAGGCCACGGTGCTGACCTCCTAAATATGTCACCAGGTCCTGTCACCCACTCCGGGCAAGGGTGTGGGTGGGATGAAGCTGCCACCATCACATTACCCTTAGCATCGCTTTTGGCGACCAAGAAGAACTTTGGGCTAGAAGTTCTGCACTTGCTTTTCCAATTTCTTTTTTCTTGCCAGTCAGCTTCCACCTCATCTTCCCATAAGCTGAAGAAAAAATGTCACATTATTTGCACATTTTAAGAACAAAGAGCACATCAGGATTCAGTAGATATTGGTTATAACCTTTTTCTTCCTTGACTTTGGTACATTACCCTCTCTGCTGTCAGCCCCGATGGTCACTTACTGGAACAACAATTTGTGTTGAGTGCTGGTTTCCCATTCTCTAAAACTGATGCAACTTCTTTATTACAGCTATTAGTCTCTCCCAACTATGAACGAGGCTCCTTGCTGGTGTCTCCAGCAGGAATGTCATCATCATCTCTATTTCCTTCACACAGCCCAGGCTGATGGGAGTGTGGAGCAGGCGAGAAATCTTCTTTTTACCCCCAATGGACTCACAGCTACTCTGTGACCATGGAGATGGCTGTTACAGCTGAGAAGTGAAGCTGCAGTGCTCAGAAAATAGATCAAAATAAAAAAGACTGGCCGCTCTCAGCTTCCCATGAACGCCAAAGGAGCTGACCACACAAGCTGGGGACACAGGGCAATCGCCAGGCACTGAAGGCTTGTTACACCTGCAAAGGATGCCTTGCCAAAGGATACATTTGCAGAATACCCAAACCCGTTGAATCCCTAAATGAAGTGCCAGTCATGCTTGTCAAAGCATCAAACACTTTGTATGGCTTCTTTCTCCTCCCCTGTCCCCCTTTTTGGTGACAAGTTTGCAGCTCAGGAGGAATATGGCAGGTTCTTCCACTGTGTCCCGGCGTCTGCTCAGACAGTTAGGAGTTAGCATCATTTAAAAAAATAAATAGATAAACTCAAACGTGGCCACACAGCTGCCAGGTGGGTGGCACGTGCCCTGAGGTGGCCAGTGGCCAGGGACTGGCGACTTGCCATGAGGCTGTCGGGGACCATCCCTGGGCCCATCCAGCCCATGGCTGGGTGGCTGGGGACGTCCTTGTGGCTCACACGTGGGGCTGGGCTGTCACGCACCTCAACCCTGCGCTGAAGGGGCTTATTTGGGCTAGCAGGCCGGGGGCATGGGCACCTCCAAGGTCCATGCCCACAAGGGACAAGTGACGCTGGCCATGGGTCCCCAGTAGCATCGGTACGGATGACTCCATGACAACAGCCTATTCTGCCTCCTGCTTCTTCATTTGAGCCACAACGCCCAAGTCTCCCTGGTTCCACCAGGTTTCTGCCCCTTGCTCCCTGTCCCGTAGAGCTAGCTGCCGCTCAGCACAGCTGTGGCACCGAGCCCTTTCCTGGTGCCAAGAGCTTTGCTTCCCCTTTGCAGAGCTGTACATGCAGTCTTGTCATGTGGGCAAGTGTATGTGAATGAATTTAAACACACCAAGCCCAGGCTTTGGGCGAAATCACCCCCAAAACAGCATATTTGTGACTAGTCAGTGCTCTGGCCTTGTTGCACTGACCTGGTAACATTTCATATTAAAAGCTTCCACTGCTGATGGACTTACAGCTAAAGCAGTTGTGAGCTGGTGATACAGGGATCATACTGAGTATGTCTGGCTGGCCATCATTACCTGGTGTGGAAGAGCAGCATCTCAGAGGCACTGCCTTAAAAGGAGGCACCAGAAACCAGCTGGTTTTCACTGTCCTTTGCAGCACCTTCCATTCTACCACGGCCAAGTGCTGCTTAACAGCTGAGACTCGGTAGTGCTGCACGGATGGCCACGGACGAAGAGGAATCACCTTCACTCGTCTCCAGCGGAGTGCAAGCCTGCGAGGTGCTGAGAGCTGCTAAGCCTACACAGGGTCAGCAAACCTCACCTCCAACGCCCTTTGGGCAAGCCGAACGCGGGAGCAACTCCACGCGCTACCCACAGGTCCTCTTCCTTTCCTCCCACAAGCAGAGGATGAGCCCGAGGCCCGAGGAGAAGCAGGAGCGCTTGGCACTGTGCGGAGTTGGCCACAAAATTGTCACCTGCGAGCAGCCCCCTGGCCCGCGATCAGTAAAGGACAACTTTAGCACTGGGGGAGGTAGAGCGGGAGCGCAGAAGAGTGGATAGATACATGGAAGACACTGAGAAAGGAAAGAATAATAAAATAATAACAGAAATAACAATACTGTAGTAAAAAACTTTGGCCTCTCTGTTCGAACTTTCAAAGCAAAATAGCTGTTATGGAAGAAAAAAGGTATCCTGAAGTCAAAATCTGGAATTTCTTACAGTAATGTTGCTACAGTGCTTTGGAGCATTGATCCAAAACATGGCATAATAGTTTCTTATAAGTGCTGGAAAGGAATCCTAGACAACGTTTGCTAGAGCTTGCTGGCATTATACTAGTTAAGGACTTGCTTCTGGAAGGTCCTGGCCTAAGTTCAGAAATGCACTTTTATGTATTCAGCTTCAACTAAGCGTGTGAGACATGTTGTGAATTCAGTGAGATTGCTTGCATGCTTACTCAGTGTTAAGCACACACTTAAGTTGGCAGCTAAATCAGGCCCAGAGTGACCAGCTCTCTGAGTCCTACTAGGTCAGTTTGTGTGTTAAACCATGGTAATAAAAATAAATTAAATCAAAACAACACCCCTGGATTTCTGTCCTTATGCCTCAGCTGTAGATACCAGTGTCAAGTCTCACCATCCATAGCAATGTGCAACAGCCTCTTCTTGTTGGGCCAGAAAGCACAATCTTCTATGCTCAAATTGAGAATAAGGGTTTTTTTTTTTTTTTTTTCTTAGTGTGAGTCTAGTATCAGTTCTTTATACACCTGATAGAGAGAGGATGAATGTCCCTAGTTGAGCCCCCAGTTCCTCATGTCACGTACTCTCTGCAAAGCGGGTGGGAATCCAAGCTTGTCTAGCTGCAGGGTGCGCGTTGGCCCTCATACAGTCACGAGGCTCGGGCATAAAACAAACGACGAGCTGAGGGAATGCCATGCAGTGACCATGAAGAGATGCTTTTGCTTGTTGTCAACATTCCTGCCACGTACTGCTGATGGGTTCATAACTGGCCTACGTTGGAAAGAGATGAAAAATAATCAGTTGCTAGAACTGAAGAAGCCTTCAGTAAGGAGTCCTGTTCTTTTGAGGTGATGCCATTTACTTCTTGGAAGCCAAGCAGTGCCGAAGAGCCGGCTGTAAGCTTCTCCGGGGAAAGCAGATGCCTTTCTAGTCAGAGGATGTTCACAGATGGGCTGGTCTGCAGGGTGGTTCTGCTCCTCTGCCGTCCCCACACGGACGGAGCTCGCGGACCGAGAGGAGTGTTTGGTGTAAGAAGTGCTGCGGGTCCCTTGGAGGCTTCACCCAGCCAAGCGATTCCCTTAACACCATCCCATGGCTCTCCAGAGCTGATGACAGAGGCTCGTCAGGATGAAGGATGCCTGAAGATGAAATGGATGCACCACCAGCTGGGCTGGAACACGTACGGCAAATCCACATGCCAGGAAAGTCTTATACATAGATGCCAAGTCTTGGCATGGTTCCCACCAGGGGTATTTTCTGTTACTGAAGCTTGAATCAGCAGGTCTGATGATGCTGCAGTACCTATCACATGTAAATACAATTTTCTTCTTTTTTTTTTAAATTATTTGTTACTCTTTTTTAAAAAGGCAGTTCAGAAGATTTACACTACGTAACAGGGAAGTGAATAATACCAGCACTTATGGTTCCTTTTAGTTATGTTTTGAAGACGGCATAGTAGTCAGGTAGAGTTCAACTGCTACGGTCTATGAAACCTGAAAGCCAAAAACCAAAACAAAACAAAAAAGCCAGAAATTGTGAAATTGTGATGAAGAGAGAACATCCTCATACGTATATTGTATACGAAAGGACCAGGCAATTAACTGCTGCAGTGACAACCCTGGGCAGCAGCCATGCTGCGTGTGCACCACGTGTCTCGAGGCCTGCTTGGGTCACTGGTGCAGAGGTGTTTTTTTACACTTTGATTTTTCACTTCATCATGAATTAATTAACCTAACCCACTAGTAGAGCAACACTTTCTTTGCTCGGCTCATGTCACTGCCTAATGGCACGAATAGCTCATTACCTTGCTAATGATTTTATAATGGTGATTTATCTAAGTGTGTTTAAGGGAATTGCTCAATTTTATTTAAATGTGATTTCCCCTGAGGCCCAGTTGTCTCACCAGTAAGTGCTGCTGAACTTCAGACAAGCCCTTATTCCTATCCCATTAAACCAGCCCCAGCTCTGAGCGTGTCTGGCCAAGGCCTGAGTGAGACAACGACGCTTGCTGGCTTTCAAATGGCCAAGGAGTGAACCCCAGAAACTGCCTGCTCATCCCAACAGTAGAAGACAAACAAAATCCTGCCCACAAACTTGCAAAAGCCAAACAGCTGGACAGACTTCCTTGAAAACTAAAGCGGACTTCATTTCTGTGGGATACTGAATGCCTTGTGGACCTCAACTCCTTTCAGCAAAACCCTTTAAAACTGCCAAGGTCTTTCCTAGGCTAGTCAGCAATGCCTTCCTACTGGAGGATGGACTTTTGGGAGCCAAATATCCTTCCTGGTGCCACTTACTGGAGTCCACTGAACAAGGCCCACTGAACACCCTAAAGCTTTGTCCAGACCACAAGGCTCAAGAGCAGCCCTCTTGTCTCCAGCTGCACTCCACTGTTACAAAGCCCAGTGAAACCCCAAGGAAACCAGGAAATAGAAAGCTGATCATTTCTGCAGGGGAGTACATGCATAATACATGCAGTTAATGCAATTACTCATTTATATACGTAAAAATCCCTTAATACAAATTTAATTTTGCCTAAAGCTTTTCTGTATTTTTCTTAAAAGTATTAACTGCATTTTTTATGTGCACATATCTGTTGAATGTATAAATGCAAGGGCAACTCCAGCTTTGCACAAGATCTAACCCCCTTTTGTCTTGAATACCTAAAACTTGATTTTAGTGTGTAACAATGAAAGCGAGCTAATGTTGATTTGCAGAGGTCTGGCTTCAGCTGAAATTCCAGGAATTCAGCTCATCTCAGGCTTAAAGCCAGATCAGATTCAGCACACACTGCACCACGGGGAGGTGACCTGACCTCTCAGTGGGCTCAGACCTCACGCTGCCAGTTAGTTTGGGGCCTGGGATAATTCAGCCTTAATCTTTTTAACCAAAAATGCCTAAGAGTATAAAATAGTCTCTCTCTCCATATTGCTGATCTTGCTATTTCACCACTGCATTGCCTATGGCAAGACTTGGAGTACAGGGCTGAGTAATCCATGCATAGCAAGTGTGTAAAATGAAACAGCTGTGTATTCAGCATCTTCTCATTTGAGCACAGTTACACCTCACTCCGTAGTTGCTCTAGAAGGAGAGTTTCCTGCCTTCCAAAAAACTAAAAGGAGGCTGTACTTTAATGAAGAGACTTTTGTGTACAATCAGCTAATGGCAGTATGAGTTTGTCTGGGTGAGCTTTTATTTACAGCCTGTAATTCCAAATGTTGTCTACAGCCAGTAGGGTGTTCGGTGGGTGTTTGAGAAATGCCCCTGGGATTTTTTTGGAAAACAACAGTATTCATTGCTAGACTTAAAAATTAATCTCAACTTACCTTGTTAGATGCCTACTTAATTCATGAACTTCCATTTCAGTGCTTTTAAATTCATTAAGTTCTTTTCGAATGGCTGCCTGCAAAGGACAAATGAACTCATAAATGTATAAATGAGCGAGATCAAAGTAAGTTCACTTTGTTCTACAAACAGTATATTATAAGTGAAGAAATCTTACATAACATTATCAAAGAGAGAGAAAAGCATATAAAAGGCTTTTAAATGGGAAAAGCAAAAGAGATAAATATGTTCTAAATCACATAAAAAGGAGAGATAAATGCTTCACTGGAATACATCAATTTGAAAACGTATCGTAGACAACACAGATAGGAAACTCAATTCTGGCTCATTATGTAAACACTTTCATGTACAAAATTCAAATTAGCATATGTATGAGGAAAAGAAATATGCAACTGAGATTCTTGAAGGGAGCCTTCTCTTTTGGAGCTGAACTGCGAGTCAGCTTGGCCTGGGTCTCACCAAAGTCTCTTATTTGTGATGTCTCCTGCCTTCACGTGGGTTTCCCAGGGTGAAATTATCTAAAAGGAGCTGAGCTGCCTTGCCAGCTCACTGGCCATGGCAGAGGGAGATCTGGCTCCCCAGGTGCTGGTCTTCACCCCGGCAGGACAGCCAGGTATCCATGGCCTTTGCAGAGGGGCTCTTGGAGGGACTCAGCTGCTTGTGGGAGAGGGTGCTGAGCAAACTGGCCCAAGCCCACATCAGCTTAATTTTTTGCAGACTGTGCTATTTGTGGAGTGCAAGTTGGCCTTGTGGCATCATAGGGCAAACCTAAGCAAGGCGGCTGCTGCGGCCAAATGCTCCCGTGGATCCAGGCTCTTTCCCTGGACTGCTGAACCCCTCTGCTCACAGAGGTGGCTACTCCAGACAGCATCACTGGTGTCTGGCAGGAATTCATCTCCATTTAAGGAATCTGAAGTAGTCTAAGGAGCATCAGCCACAAAAGAGCACTTTGGCAGCAGTCAGTGATGCAGCCACGAGCTGCCTGACAGGCCATACATGATATATTTTGAATGTGAGCTGTAGAAAAGGCCCTTTGTACTCCTCCTATATGACTTTGTTCCTTTCTATTTACTTAAGAAACACCACCCCAGCTCCGTTTCCATCTATCAGGGCAGAGAGATGGTTATGCAGCAAGTCAAGGGCCCACCTTCAGCAGAGCAATTTGCTGCTTAGGGGGCTGTGACGGAGGTGGCACGGGCTGCTGGCTCCCGCAGCACCCGCCGTCTCTTGCCCCCCTGCCCCTCTGGTGTGTCAGTGAGTTTTAATGCACCCTCTTGATTCATTCCTCTTAACGGGCAACCTCGGTAAAGGGGAAGTCAGATTGAACCCAATCCCCTGCATCCAGCACACAGAGTAAGATTTACTGACAAACCCGAAAGCCCATTACTAAAATCAAGTTTCATAATGAATCTAGTCAGTGCTCATCGATGGAGACAGTTATTGAATCAGAATTTGGGGAGAAAATAATCTTTTAAAGGGCGTTGCCGCTCTGTCAGGCATTTCTGGGTTGATATCAGTTTGTTTAGCTATGTTTCCTAACAGTGGATGTACTGATGTGCGGAAGCAGGTGATCTGAACAGCAAAAATCAGAATATTGCCACATGACTCTGGCCTGCAAAGGGATACATCTGCTTCCTTATGCACAGAAGGAGCATTAATATTATTATTCTTCTACTTTTCTGAGAAAAGGTTCATATGGAGACCTTTAAGCTTTTTGCTCTGTTTCTTGACCTTGCAAACGTATTATAAAAAAAAGGAAAGGCAACATCAAAGTACTTTCCCTTAACACTGAATGCTTTACTAGACTGTTTTTAATAGTGGTACTTAACACTTGTCCTTTTCACAGACTGAGGATGAGACAGAATCTCTCTGGACACAAAATATTATGCATTCCCAGAAGAAGTCTCTCCATACCCTCAATTTTAGAGAGGGATCTCTCAAAGACCGCAGAACTGATGGAACATTTAGTTCCTCTCTCATCTACCAAATGGGAGAAAATAACTGATCGATTGGTTAGGTCACTTGATTAAGATTTTGTCCAACGTAGTGAGGTAAAATGGGAATTTAACTCAATATATTATGCTCTGGGGATGGCTCAGGAAGGTTTTAATTTTTTCATATCAGTTCACATTACATTTGCACATGCAGAAAGCGATATGCAGTCCAGCAAGAAAGCAGAGCAGAACCTCCCTGAAGTATCAACAAAGTTTCAGCTTCTTCTTAAGGCACCATTGAGTCCCTGGAGATGTGATTTATATTATTGGGCAGGGATTTAACCTCTTTGCCACCAACGCCCTTACCACAGATGCTACTTGGTGAGAGAACAGAAGGTCCCACTGGTGCTCAAACAGCAGAGCACTTGCCACCAAGGATGCAACTTGTCTCCATCTACAGATTTGATTTTAAAGGTTAAAATACTCTGCTGAATGAGATGATAGAAAACGTGAGTGAGGAATGACTCTGAGCGATCCTGCCTCCCTCTGAACGAGGGTCGAACCCTCCTATCTCGATACTGCGGAGAAGTGAGCTGGCTGGAGGGGGACGGAGGTGCCCGGGCCAGCTGGCGAGCTGCTTTGAGAGCTGCTTACTTTGTCGGCGGCTGTGAGTCGCGTCCAGGGCTTGTCCGCCCTCCTGTCGTAGTCCTGCGCGTCCGCGACCTCCACGTAGTCGCTGAAGCGGATCAGGATCTTCCTCTCACGCAGCTCTTCTACCGTGGGCCTTTGACTCAGCTGTGAGCGTGGGAAAGGAGGGGGAAAGGCTTTCAGAAGTCCGTTTTTAACTCACAAGGTGCTGACAGAGGACTTATTTTATCACAACCTTCAAAATAATAACAAGAGGGCTCAGACGTTGTTGGTACCATTGAGTTTTATGACTTTTCATAGTCTTGCTGACTGGATGATAACCTGCTGTTTGCCATAGCACCCCGTATATCTTTCAGACTTGCTACCAGAGCGGCAAACTACTGCTTGGGAAGCGGCTGTGGCTGGAAACTCCAATCCCAGGCTGTGGTTGATAAATTAGATGCAAGGCAAGTAAATCTTCTAGAGCACAGATATCCCAGGAAGAGAGATGGACCTCAACACAACTTAAGGTACCTACGCAGGGTGTATTCCCCACAGCTTGAGTTGCTGAGTGTGTTTTAGAGCTTCCTGGAAAGAGTAAGGCACATGCACCAGGCAAACCCTATCCTGAACTATGTGCAAAGGGTAGCAAACATTTCTTACCATTCTGATAATCTGCAGACTTGTCCTTACTTCCAGAAAAGGCAGGCACGATGATGACTATTGCTCATTGAACTTTCCACTCTATGCTGCAGCTCAATTTTATGTCATGACATATTTGCATTTTAACAGTTTACATTGCATATTATAAGCTCCCCCAAAAAAAGAAAAAAAAAAAAGCAAAGGTGGATTGTCGCTTGTCAAGAAAACATATCCATTGTTCCAAAGTATTTCTTCCAAATTCCTTAGCAGAAGAAGCAGTCACAGTTAAAAATCTCTCAAATTAGAAACATAATAGTGTGCTAGTAGTCCTGCTAACACACCCCTGTTACCTAGCTAATGACAGACAGCGGGTTTCGGGGATCTCTTCCCCTTAGATGCTCAGAGGAATTACATGACTGTTTCTGAAGAAAGTGCTATATGTGTGTTTGTGCATGTGGATGGATGCTAGTGGCAAAGGTTTGTGCAAATCCTTCAGTAGAATGAAATATTTACAGTCTTTACACACTTGGGAAAATACTCCTGCCCCACTAGCAATTAACCAGCCAGCATATCATGCTATTCCTATTCATTAGGAAAAGCAGAATGTGTGTGAAGTGTCGACATGCAAAACGTTTCAGTGCTAAAGGCGTGTTTTGCACTACTCTACTCTTGTGATGAGTGAAAGATCTCAACATTTCATAAAATGCTTGAGACTATTTTCTGCAAAAGTATTTAGCATCTTGGATCCTGAAGGGCAAATCTGCCCTCCTCACTTATCCCTTCATTTCCTCTCCTGGAGAGAATTAAGATACAAAACAGCCAGGACGCTAAGCACAGGATGACAAATTAGTTAGGCCAGAGGAAAGAGAAGTGACTCCTTGAAAACCCACCTTTCTACAGCATTTGTGTGTACAAGAACGCTCCGCCTCCCCATTCTGCACCTGGATTTAAATCCCTGTGTGGTTGTTCTTAGCACGGATGGTTGCCTCTCGTTTTCCTTTTAAAAACCACGGTTGTACCAGAGGCAGCAGTGGGGCTGCTTTCCTGCTACTGGAAGTCCTGATCACTCACTCAGAAAATGATCCAGGCACCTCGTCTGAAGAGCGAGTGCAGGAAAGCCAGCCTAGGAGGTGTTCGGGAGGACAGGGAGAGTTCAGGAGCACTTCCCACTGCTCTGGGCTGCAGCTGTGCCCTGGGGCACGTGCGGAAGGGAGAGACCATGGAGGGAAAGTGTAAGGCGCAGCACAACTCTACAGTCTGCTGACTAACGCCCTTGCCTAGGAGAGCAGCCACATCCAAGTTCCGCAGTTCTTGTGTCATCTCCAGCGCCAATTCAAGGCAAACTGCAGCTTTTAACAGGGGAAAAAAAGTGTTTTGAAAAAGAACACCTTAGAACCTTTGAAAAGTCTCAGGACGAGGTAGCTTTCTCCCTTCCACATTCTTCTGTGAGAGATATGAAATTTCATGGGGTGAGCTTGAGCTTGCACATGGTTCAGTCATGTAACAGTTACAACTTTCCTCTTACTACTTGAGTTGCCTCCTCCACCTGCACCTCTCATACCTAAGTAGTTATCTGCAGGCCAAACATACACTACAATTAATAGATGGGCTTTGGGAAAAAAAAAGTGAAAAACAAACTTAGCATGTTTCAAGTGTTACCACAGTTATGCTATACAGAAGTCTTATTTCTGCTGCTCAAGTCATCTTAAATGTGATTTTGAAGTCCTAGTTTTTTCTAAGAACTCTAGAAATAGAAGAAAGAAGCATCAGAAGATTTTTTAGTCTTCATTCAATATTATTCAGACAGAATAGCTGAAATTTTTCTTCTGATTTTTATTTTAAGTCTAAGCCTTGCTATGGGAACAGAGTCTTTGTTCTGAAATAATAATCATTAGGACTACAGCCAAGATTTTCAAAGCTAAAGTTGTCACTGTCCTTATTTGCATCAGCTTTATTTATTTATTTATTTATTTATTTATTTATTTATTTTTCAACAGTATGAATTAAGGGTGAATCACCAAAATTATCTGTACATTTCTCAGCTTTTACTGGTTTAAGCCTGAGCCTAGATGCTATTTCATATTAGGATGGAAATTCTTCTTTTTTTCTTTAATGAAGTACTCTTTACATAGGATATGATGACATGAACAAAATATGAAATACTTTTAATTAAACTCTGTGCTTCTAAATGGCTACAAGGGAAACGGGAAGAGAAGTTTTAAAAAATGATCGACTCAATTTCACAGCTTCTGTCAGCTCCTGACCTCAGCTGGCTTTTGTGCTTGTGCAGCGCCTCCAGCCTAAAAGTGATGAGCAAGATTTTCCAAAGGAGATGGCAGCAGTGACTTTTGATGCACTACATCCTGCCGTGCCAGGATGATGTCTAGAGAGTGTTGGGAACGCAAGAGCACCGAGAGCTCTTGCTGTGGGACTTGTGACAGGAGAGGGACGGCACTGGTGGCCCTGCTAGTACCTTAATACTGCAGTGAAGTCTCCGACAGGTGATTTGCCTTCCTTGCTGTTGTGGGTCCAGGTTAGAATCAGAGAACACTGTAAATGCTCAGGGCTATATGATGACCTGGGAGATCTGAGACGAGTTCTCCCATTCGCAAATTCACACGCAAAATTAGTTTGCGTTGCCAGCACGTTTTACAACACTGAAAACCACGGCATCCCTTTCTGTGCAGGTTGACTGCTTCAGTGGGTGTAATACATGGAGCTACACACACAGAAATGTCAAAGGCATAAGCACATGGTGAAACTTTCACATCAATGTGCATTTTTCATTGTTAGGTGACCATTGTTAGGTTACCTGAGTGTGAAACAGACTAAAAGCTGTTTCTTTTCTTCCTCTGAAATCATGTAACCATTACTGCTTTTTCTTTTTTCCAGAGATCATGACTTTGCTTGATCAACGTGCAACCGGTGTCATTTCAAGTCCTCATAAGTATATGAGGATGGTGGATGTCTCCCTCCCATCGACCAGCGCTTGCTGAGAGATGGGCACTGCCTGAAGGTGACCTAGGAGGCCTGGGGCAGAGCAATAAGGGATGTATTGGCTCTCATGCCACTGCTCTAAAAGACTCCTCAAATCCACAGTTTATACCATGTAATTCTTGTATAGCCATAAATCTACATATATTTACATACATACATATACAAAATATTCACTACATTAAACCAAAGTGACGATCTGATTATAATGAATAAAATGAATAGGACAATCACGCTGAGTGGGTATTTTTTGAAATTAGCAAAAGCGACACTATTTGCCCTGCTAACAAACCGAGCGGCCTCTTTTCAGACCATTGCAGAGCCTCCTCAAGAGCGGCTAAGTACTGGCATCAGTGGGGCTGGACTGGGCAGAGCACCCCCAAAATCCTCATGACCCTGGCAGCTGGGGAGAGGGCTTTGCAGAGCCAGCTCCGTCAGCGACCCCGGCTCAGTGTTTGCTTGTGGCAAGGGCACAGCTCACCTGAGATCTCACCTTGAATTTATTTTTGTAACATGAGAGCTGCACCGTCTTGGGTCCACCTTATTTAAGGCTACACAATACTTCATGGACAACAAGTGAAAATGAGTGTTGCTTCCTCCAACAACCAGAAGGAATTGGGGACCCTTGGAGCATATGGCCAAGGGAAACTTTTGAGGACATGGTGCGGCTGCCTCACAGGCAATGGTGTTGCATGCAGGAAGGAAGGGAGATGGGGTATTAAGCTGTCCCACTGGCTTTCTGCAAATTTTGTTAGGCTTTATTGACACTGGAGATTGGAAATTGTTCAGAGGTACTTTAGGGAGGAACTTTAGGGAGAAGTTCCCTCAAAGAACAGATAGCATATGAAGAGAATTTCACTATTAAAATCTGCTGTGAATATAGACATGTTTGTGGGCATGACAAAGGGTTACTTCTGTTAGTTCCAGGGGGATATACCGATGTCTGTCTCCACTTTTTCGGGGTGTCCTTCCTTGGCATATACATTTCTGCTTGTCTTTTTGTGAAGATTTGTTAGTTGAGGGAGAAGGACAACTTTTTTGGACAGAGTTTCTCTATTATTTTAATGAAAATCAAGGCATTATCCATTTTGAAATAAATGGATTTGTAGTAGTATAAAAGCAGTGTAAATGATGACAGAAACAGTTATCTGGTCACGGGAGGTCAAGCTGTCCTCTGTATTTTCTGGATCACTGAATTTAAAAAGGGCACATTTCAAGCTTTCATACTAAGCCAGTTTGTAAGAGAAGGTTTAAAACCAAACTTTATGTTCTCAGCATGGGAAATGAAGCGAACCAAGGCACTGTCACAGGTAATGTGGGAGAGGAGCGTGCTCTTGCTAGCCTGGTTCTGAGATGCAGCCCGCTCTGAGATGCTGAGCTTGCCCTTCTTCAAGCATAACGAGCTCCTTGTCTTGTCACTTCACTCTCGCCTGCTTTGTTACCCCATTAAAATGTTATGGTTGTCACTTAATAACCAAGGGAAGGTGAGAAATTACAGGTCCTAACTGGCAGGGTGCACAACTCTCTCCCTCCTTTGCTCCCCCTCTTCGGTGGGAAGTCTGGGTCCGCGTAGCTCTAACAAAGGAGTGGGATGTGATGAAAATGACCCCAAGCCCTTTTCCCTCTTCGAGAAGAAATGCAATTTATCCAAATTAGCAGCTAACCTTTTTTTTTTAATATTCTAACCTTTTTTTTTTTTTCTTCTTCTTCTCACCTCCCTCTAACTAGTCACACCTCTCTCAAGGGTTCATTATCTCAAACACTCCGCACAGATTCAAGCTAAGGGAGGTCAATTAAAGGAATGATTGAACAGCAAGACATTCCCCAACGAGCATCAGCTTGCTAACAGAGAATTTAGGTTCGGCTGGGGCAAGTATTTAACAGCAGCAAAGATTTCACAGACTTTAATGCACAGCTTTTAAGCAAGAGACACACATCGTCATTTAAGTTGTCACTGTTACTGCTTTGGGATTTTCAGTTTGGAGATGGCCTCTGTGAAAAATCAGCTATTGGCAATGGGGGACTGGAAGCAGTTAACAGCTCTGGAAACAGGCAGTATGATGCCATTTGAGAGAAGACAGAAAAAGAAGAGATTTACTCTTCTTTTCAAATAATCTGTAACTATTAATCTGAGGTATGACTGCATCTCTGGAATGGGAGTCCTTAGAGGGAGATTAGGCTTGTGTTAATTACCTTGGTATACGGCCAGATTCACTGGGGGAATAAATTGTTGTATTTCCTGGGAATATAGAACTCCTCATGGAGGGACTCGGATGCAGTAGGTCCCCAAGAAGACCCTCACATGTTCATATTCTGGGAATGGCTTGTGGGGTGGCTGAGGCCAGTGTTAGGAGAAGTCCCCCCATATTCCCATGTCCCTCCTATCAAACTGAAGAAGTCCATATGTCTGAAGAAACTAGCTGGACCTCAAGGAGAAGGGAGAAATGATGGGACTGGATAATCAGAGTTTATCTTTAGCAAACCGTCTTCTTTAGAAGACTCTTTTTCTTCTTATCACCATCCATACATGGTTACAAGAAGGCAACTGGGCATACTTGCTTTAGGCTGAATTTAACCTGTGGGCATTTGTGTGTATTAAAACTGACTGTATGTATTAAACTGTGTGTATTAAAACTGACCTGAGAGAGGTCTGTTGGGGAAAACAACTGACATGCTCAATTAAACTTCCCCTTGATCTGAGTTTTAAAATCCGTTGGTAAGAAGGCTTCAGTATAGATAGACAGAAGGAGCCTCCCGCTCCTTTGTAAACACAGAGGCACATCTGGGCTATATTCACGAAAAGCAGAACTGGGGAACAACAGCAGCTTTTGCAGGATTCACTAGGTGCTCAGCATTTCTAGGTGTTAAATATCCACTTGCTCATTTTCTTCACATCTTCCCTCTAGTGATCTCTGAGCTTTTCGGACAGCATGTTTAGCAGGAAAGACTAAAATTTCTTTTCTTTCATTAAAGCACAAGATGTCACTCCAACAGTTAACAGCAGTTTAAGAAAATAATGAAAATCAAACAATACTAAGTCATGTTGCTACTAAGCTCACTGAAGAGAGGAGGGAGCAAATCCATGCTTGGGAAGAAGCCAGAGAGGACTCAAAGGAATGTGACCTGGAATGTGGGTATGAACATTAAAGAGCAGATTGTCAGGGGATGGGGCTGACACTCTTCTTGCCATTGTTCCTACTTAAAAGTGAGAACAAGACTAATAAAAAGAAATCACAGAAGGCAGCTGTTGAAATTCCAAGTAGGTCCTGTTGCAATGCTGCAGGATACTGTATAGCCGAGGCCTCCATCTGCAGAGACAACCCATGCACTGTGCACCTTTCCCACAAGGGAGCAGCCTGTATCTGGGTAGCTTTGCTCTCTATCCAGTACAGCTGTTCATCTGATGGAACTGATGTTTGGATTGGATTCCCGCGCGTGTTTACCCTTCCATGCACAGTGAAAGTGAAAGGCTGGTAAAAGAGTATTTTTGGTTTCTAGACAGAGCTTAAGGCCCACGAAACATCTGCAATGCAGTTAGGCTCTTTTCTTTCAGGCGATGCTATGAGGGGATGTGAGAATATCCTTGTCGTTGCTGTCAGGAATATAAGTGTTTTAAAAATAACATTATAGCTGTTTGAGCTACACTTTAGCTCCTGCAGACAAAAGCAGAACGACCCAGTTGATGGCAGAGCTCTGCTAACTCACATGAGCTCAGAAGCAAGTTTGAGATTTCTAATCATGAAAGCAAACAATCCAGAACAATCCAATCTCACGTTTGCTTATATACACTGTTTACAGTCCTCTGTGGTTATTTATACCATGAAACTTTGCAGTCACACAGGTGAAAAAGATTTTAAAAGTACAGGAATGGGTCTGTGCAAGCCTGAGTTTATAGAGAACTTTTCCCACCTCTGCAGATAGGAAGTAAGTGGATGCCAAAATAAAGTTTAGCCAAAACAACAGGCTAGCTTGTTGGCTATGTGGGCCGGGCCGTATGTAGACATTTACACCAGTGGAGAAACACAGCTTGTGTATCTGAAATTACTGTTCTTGGTTTTAAGAGTAAATGATTTTCAAGTGGAAAAAAAGAGCTAACCTAAATTAAAATACTACGCTGCTTAATCCATCCTTCACTACTGGCACAAGATTATTTTCTGACCTATACACCATTTCTAAGTGTTTATTTCTATTTGGCTTAAATGCCTCCAGTGACAACCTCTCCTTCCAGAGAAAGGCTATTCCCCAGCTTAATGCTTTCTAGTGGAATTTTCAAAAGCAATCAGCATTGCTTGGACTCAGCTCTCCCTGCAATCCTTGGAAGTCATTACATTTACAGGGAGCAGAGCTAGACCAAAGCTAAGTCCGTAAATCTTTCACTATTCTAAGTCCTTTTGGTTACAGAAATTCAATCTTCTGCCCAACTTCAAAATGTCTCTGGCAATAACACCTAAAGCTCTTCCCTTCACTGTCACTTATGGGAACTGTCACTTACAGGGACTGTCACTTACAGGTACTTACACTCTACATCAGAGCTGATTTCTTTTAAAGATTTCTTTTAAGAATTGTTTCAAGCTGCCTTTCTAAAAGCGGTGCTGTGAAAGGAAAAAGGCAAATGACTGTGCAGAGGGAGAAAGCTGTGGCAGTGCTGTAATAGGATAAAAGTTGCTTCTCACCTTGCGTGTTAATCTTCTCTTTATCTCTCGTTTTTCCTCCTGTTCCTCTTGCTCGTTTCGAGCTGTAAAAGATTCACAAAGCTCTCAGACTGCAGAGTGATCAGACATGCACAGTATGCAACAAATAAGCCTCACCATCAGTACATGAATGTTTCAGGACTTCTCTGATGTACAGCACGTCCCTCTGAGACGAGTGAACTTCCTTGATCCCTAGCTACTGCACTTCCTCACACACTTCATGAAATATCAATAGCCTCCTCTGTGGCCAATTTCTCCAAGCTATTTTTTGGAGATAATTGAAAGAAAACAGTAGGGATGACGTGTAAAATTTCCAACTTCCCATAGTCTAAGCAGAGTGAAGAAAGACTATCCTCCCATCTTGAGCTTTCACAGCATTGCACTGGAGCATAAAAGCACGTCCTAGGGCAATCTGTTTCCAAAATTAAAACAAATTAAAGAAATTAAAACAGACAATCATGTGTAGCAGGTTCTTACCAGGGCAAACACCAACCATTATCGCTCAGGAGAACAAGATCTAACTTGCAATTACGGTACCTCTTCTTCAGCTTGGGAACTCAGGCAGTTCTTTGCACTGACTTTTACTAAAAGTTATCAAAAATTGGGTTGCCAGGTACTCATTTCCTAAGTCAGTTAGGCCTGGCTGCTTCCCTGACGTCTAAATTGCTCCTTAGTCAAATCATGCCTGTAATGCATAAGAACTGCCTTTATGTCAGCCTAGCTGATGGGCTCAGGCAAACAAAATTCATCAGCCCCTCATGCAACTATAATGTGCTCTATTTATGATTCTGCTCTTACATTGATCAATGTAGCCAAGATAGGGATAGCTGCCTGCAGCGGAGATCGACGGACACCTCCTTTGGCATCTGTTCATCCATGCTGCTTGGCTAGCAGGCCAAAGCAATGTGGCTGATGGTGTGAGCTCTGGCTCCACTCACACCACTGAGGCCACCTCCTTTCCATCGTTAGGTCATTTTACACATGCAGAACATCATCCTGTGCATCATGCCTTTCACTGAAGGGTCCCAAAGCATCTGGGAAGCTTCACTTGTTTTGTAGGGAAGCTATGGGATGCACTCCACATGATTTGAAGACAAGTTTGGCACAGCTGTGGATGGATAATGGGGCACTGACCTAGATCCACTTAGCAGATACCTGAGACAACTTAGGATGTTAGAGTCCCCTCTGCTAGACTTGATGAAACAGAAGATGAAAATGTTCCCCAATTCCTTCAGCGCAAGTGGTTTGAGCAGAATTATCCAAATTTGTACTAACTAAAAAACAAGGGGGATTCCCACTTGATACTCTGCTGATCGTGCTGGAAAGGCAGGGACCTCTGGCAGAGCAGTGGTAAAAATATGCCAGGGGTTGTAACTTCAACCACCCAGCTGCTGACTAAGTGAGCACAGATCAGCCCTCACACGTCCCCTAGCCACCTGAGGAAAACACAGCCTAAGGAGGTCCTAACTCCTAAAGTGAAGGCTGTTTCCAGTGGAGGCAATGCCATGATTCCAGCCATTGAAACTGGTGCTTTCACTGCCAGAAATAAGACCTAAGGTGCAGAGCATGTGGGCAAAGTCACAGAGGAGGCGAGGAGTGGGAGGTGGGAAGGCAAATTTCCTGCTGCACAGGATGACAGAGGTGACAGCCTTTCTGAGGTCCATAGCAACTGCTCACCGTCTCCAGCAGGATGAGAAATTCTCCACCAGCCTGGGCAAAGAGTGAGTCAATGTTATAAAGTTTCATAATATAGCTCTGTTTTTTAAATGTCTTATTTCCAAAAAAGCTGCTTGCTTTTTCTGGAGAAAAGAAGAAAACTAATACTATAGCCAAAAAAAAAAAAAAATAAAAAAAAAAATAAAAAAGGAGACAACCAAGAAGGTTACTAATGCCTTTTAAAATGGTAATTGGAACACCTGTAGTGATAACTATATTTTTCATGTTTCCTTTTCTCATTCAGTGGTTCCAGTGGGCTGGGTTCTGCAATTCTGTACTTAGCTGCTTTCTCAAAATCAGAAGAGCTGGTGATGCAAATGCTTACTTGCAGTAATGGGCACACTGAATAAATCTTTGTAGGATTAGGAGATAAAGAGAGTTTGGGGTAGAAGTGAAAGCAGCTGGGAAGTTATGTAAAAACGTAAGTTATGGTAGTTCATCTCTGTGCTTGGAAACATCTGCCAAGTCCTAGTGGGGAATTAGGAAACTATTCTCCTCAGAAAACTGAGAATGACTATGTTCTAGCCATTTTTTAAGACTAACTAAAACTTGTGGCTCTTGTGAAGAAACAAAACCGTTGCTTAGATATTCAGGAGCTACCCTGTTCCTCTAGACCTACATGTGGGCATGCATGGAGGTGTGTTTTTGGGACATGACTTTTGTGCCAGCGTGAAGCCAGTGTGAAATGTTGACCAGAATGGCATGTGACCCTGAGAGCTCAAATAACTATTGTTTTATGAGGAATTTATGCCAGCTGAATGTGTCAAGCAGACAGCTGAAGGAGCCAAAGACTTCTGTCCATGATAGAAATAGCACTGGTGGTGATGGGTGAGGGATTCAGACATCTTTCTTTTTAAACTATTATGGCCTGGATGTATTAAGTACAAAACGAGATGTTGAGTCCTCACATTACCCCTGCGGATCTGAACTTATTTGCACTACATAACTTTGACTTCAATTTTAAGACTCAATGAGAGACTTGGATATACTTCAGGGAAGAATTCTTTAAGCATCAGTTCCCCAGTTCTTAGTTTCCTTGTTCCGGCTGCTATAATTTTACTGTTGCTACTGGCAAGCAGTTGGATTTGTATAATGGACTTTTTGTCATTATAATTCAATGAAGAAGGTACTCTCCTAATTACTCCAGCACCTTGGAAGTAAGAAGTGATCACTTGTGGTATACAGACCGGAAGTAGGATTGTATTTTGCCCCGTTTCTTGCCATCAGATCTTGCAATGATGCAGTTAATGTGACAGGAACATCATGGTACTAAACAAGACACTTGCATGAAGGAAATTTCAGCTTTAACTGTGGAGGAAATCCTATTTATTCAACTGGGAGTTGCTGTGTTTTCTCTTTTTTGGTATGTTATGAACTGGGCTTTTGAAAAAATCTTGACCTGGTTAGGCAAAGATTTCAACACTCCTCTTTTCATTACTGCTTCTTATGTATCTGTTTTAAACAGGCTCTACTATACTTATCATAATTGCATTTCCCAGCTGTCTAGAGAAAGAACATAAAACAATGCTGTACAGAGCAGAAACTTTACTTTTTAATACTATGGAATTTTATGCCTTTTTAAAAAAAATCCATTCTATTTTAATTGATTGTTCCTTGTCCTGCTATGCTTCAGCAGAAGTTGTTGTGCCTTGAGAATACCACATTATTTTTTTCCGGTAATTATGAAGTTGTTCTTCAACAAAGACATACAAGTCTGGGGGCAGATTTGTGCTTAGGGACCAAGTTACACAATTTTAATTGAGGGAATTAAATAACATTCCAGATTCAAGATAATATTCGATTACACCTCTGTCATTTAGGAGCCTACACTCAACTCGGAAAGACACTGATGTGACTCAGGGGATAATTCCACTGAAGTGTAAGACAGGTCGGGTTGCTATGTGACCCTGACACTTGACAAGGTGACCTTTAACAACACCTGTGTAAGGCACCTGGATTTGAAGATGCTGCTTCTCCGTTGATGCCAGCTCAAATATTGCAGCCAGTGCAGCTGCCTGAGATCCCCACCTCCCACAGCCCCCGGTGCCACGGCACCAGTGCCAGGCTGGTGCTAACTGGTCACGTCCCAGTGCTGGGTGGTGCATGACACATGGTCGCTCACGCTGGCTCCAAGTCCCGGGATGATAGCCCAAGTTGCCTGAAAAAATCAACATCTGTTCCCCTTCGCCCAAGCTCTGCCTAGGAAAGCAGCACAGCTGGGTACCCCACCTATCTCCCTGCTTTTTGCCCCCTTGAAAGCTGGTTTCCTGCAGCTGTGAGGCATGGGAATGTGGAGTAGCTGGGAGGTGCACAGTTATCAATCAAAAAGGGCCTGACCCTATTCAAACGGCTTTGTTAGTGGCCTTGGGGTCTCTCGGACAGGTTCCAGTGTCCAACCTTTTCTCATTTTCACCTTGGCAGCAATATCTCTATTTTTGTCTGGCAGGCACAGTAACATGAACAAATGGGAAAAAAAACATGCTGTTTCATTCCCTAACACTGTCACAGATGTCTTAGGAATTTGATTTTGTGGTATTTACTCAATCAATTTTATTAACTCGGAGAGAATTAATCTCCTGCTACCACACTCATGATTCCGTGCAATGCAGTTATTTGAACAACAATGAAAAGCATATTTTGATCTATGCATAGACACTATGCTATTTTAATGCACTACTTCGGAGAATTTTTTCTGTATTACTTTTTAAAACTTTCCTGGAATGATGGATTACTAATTTAAAAAGGAAAGAAATGGTTTCCTCTATCTTCAGACTACAAAACATTTAGAGAAACAGTTTTGACCTCTTTAATAGTCGAACCATTTCAATGTGAGTAAAGAAACAGTCATGTCTGATTCATTCATGAGATTATGAGATTTAGTCTGAACTCAGTCCTGGTTCTGTTGAAGTAAATGGCAACATGTAATAACTTCAGTCAGACCAAGCCCCATAAAAGGTGTCAGTTACCTTTTTTACTTTACTTAAAGTATCAGTTAAGGTTTTGAAGATTTGATTTGATTTATTTAAAGGAACAGTGAATGTTAAAGGCTAGAAAATTCTAGCCACTTCCTAAAGTCTTTGCTGAATTATAACAGGATGATCATCTGTGTGAGAGCAGCATAAATGCTTTTCGAAACATCCCTCTGTTTGGAAAAGGACTTGCAAAAGAGATTGAACGCCTGGATTTCTGTTCCCAGAGGCTGTTCACACTTGTGAACACACTGGCTCTGATGTTAATGAATGTTTCTACATTTCTAAAGGTCAGGATAGACTTGCACACTTCTTTGCACTTTCGGCGCAGTTTCTAATTATTTATAATGCACATGGCAGAATAGTTATGTTTTATAAAAAACACACAACGTGTATCTAAACTACCCCCGTCTAGCTGGCTCTGGATTAAGTCTCCTTAGGAAGAGCACTTACGTTTCAGAATGTTCCTCTGCTCCAGTTCCTCCGCAGTCGGTCTCTGGCTCAGCCGCCTGCGAAAGAAGTCCAGGATGAGTTTCTGAACCATATCACATCCTCTTCCACTCAGAGCCTTTACGAGCTACTTTGCGGGGTGCGAGGCAGAGAGGCAAGCCCAGACACCGCTCCATTATGTCCTTGCCATGCCCGTGCCACGCGTGCCACGGGCCGCGCTCCGCTTGCGCCGCTTCCTCTGTTTCCAACCCCAGTTATGTCATCGGCGGCAGGGCACTCCCACCCCTGCCCCAGGCAGAGCGGCCGGGCGCTGGGCTGCGCACATGTCTTCACTTAAGCTTCCTCCCTCCCTCATCCTGGCGTTCAGGAGGATCTCGAGCGGGACCGGCCGCCCCTCTCCCTGCCCGGCTTGCTCGGAGCCTGCCCGAACACCCAGACGGGCCGCAGAACAAACACGGCAGGCCGGGCGGCTCTCACCGCGGCACGGCAGCAGCCTCCTCCTCTGCACCCTTCCTCCCCACGCTGCTTTTAGTGAGTTTTATCACGACGAACCATTCCGGCTTGCTGCGCAACTCGGGTATAACAAGGCCCAGCAACAGCGGCCGCGTTGCAAGCGGGGCCCTGAGCACGGGGACAAGCAGCACAGTCGGGGCAGGGAGTGGAGCACCACGAGCTGTCGGGAAAACAAAGAAAACCAGTGAGGAGGCATCAGAAGCCAAGGCCCCTGGCTTGGCTCGCAAGTCAATGGGCGTTTTGTCGGCGGCTCCAGTGAGAGGATAGAGCCTTCCTCACGGTTCGCACGCAGCTGCTCAGGGTCGTTCCTGACTCAGGGCCTTGCTCTGTGCTCCCTGCTTATCCCTGCTCTGTGAGCTGGCTCATCAGCTCCTCCACATGCGCTGGAGCACACGCAGCCGACGGGAGCCTCGTCCCCTGCGCTGGCTGGGGGCTCTGAGCATGCCTGATTTTACCATACCTGAAGATTTCCACTAGCTGAGGCAATATCACTTTGCACCACTAAGACAAAACTATGGCCCTACTCCGACAGAGCATTAGGACTCATTTAGCCCTGTCTCTTACCCACGGCAGACCGAACATTTACCTCACTGGCGTGAGGGAAGTGCTGAGAGGGGTAAAACACGTCCTTCATTCAGAGGAAAACAATGTCTGCAAAGTGCTTTGAAGACAGAAAGGGCTACTCAAGTGCCGCCGTTATCATCATCATCTTTCACATATGGTAGCTGTTGCTAATGAGATACTTCACCTTAGTACTATGAAGCAATTAAATTTACTTTATTTCCAGCAGTGCTTAAGAATTTAATGCAAAAAGTTGCCAAGTGTAGCCCCACCATGTAAGTCTGCAGCAGTTGAGTTATATAATGTTTTTAATCCATTACATTGCGGTGCTTTTCCAGAGGATGCATCAGAGGAATGCTAAGGACAGATTCCAGCCGTTCACTGGCTGAGTTTTTATAGGAACCAACATCAAACATTAAGTAAGAGGAGAAAACAGTATAAAAGACTGTTCATCCTCCCTTTCCCAGTAAAATGAGGATTAAAGGACTCAGCTAACAGTTTGGTCAAAAGCAGTTCACAGTGAAGACTTTCAAATAAAAGGCTAAAGTTTTGTTTATCTACATTAACGATTTATATAAAAGAAAAAAAAAAAGAATTACTTCTCAGAATTACTGCCATGAGGTAGATGCACTTAAAGCCAAACAGAGCTTTTACTTGATGATATGTCATTGCTTCCACACGTGAGAAGAGGGATCTCCTCCAAACATGCCCTCAGCAGTACATGTATCCCATACTTCTGAGTTGCTCAGAGACTTATGGATTGTACATTTCTTCTCCAAGCTGTGTGGCAGAATCCATAGCGAAAGAGAGCTGTAGATCCCTGTTTTACCCACCTAGATTCAAATTATTGTATGGATCTGATAACCTGCCTTTTGCAGGCTGCAGTGTGCTCCTGCCCACATGATGACCACCATTGCAAGGAATGCACTTACAGGACCCAAAAAAAAGCCATGATACTTTTGACAGACACATTCTGGAGATCTAAAGCTATTTGCCCTCCTGTGGCTTTGGATCCCTTCTGGTCTCTTAGAAACTCCAGAATTTTAAAAACAGCAATACTTGGGCAGTAGTAAAAGATAAGACACCCTTGTAATTTAACAAAAGCATGACTAGTCCTTACAGTTCAAGTGTGAAGCACTTGGAGCTGGAGAAGCTGGAGGAAAAGGGAGGTAATAAATGAAAGCTCTGGAAGGGCCTAGCCTCCACTACCAGTATCTGCTTTGCTCTTCCATGAACTGCTGCTGTTTCTCCTTTTGCATCATCCTTTAGGCTTGAGCCTGCTCTTTCCTTGCCCAGCTCCTCAGTCACTCCCAGCCTCTTCTCTGTTGCCTTTCAAGTACTCATAGTTGTTTCTTTCCGTGGTTTCTTGATCTTTTCCTGTCCTTTCTTCTCTTGCTTGCATAGTGACCTCCACCCCTAGTCTATGCTTTACAAACAGCTCCGCCGACACCTCAGCAGAGCTTCCTTTCCATTCTTTTTTTCTCACCTCTTAGCTTTCTGGTTTGCCAGGTATTGAGCAGTTGTTAACATGACCATCTTTAAAAACCTCAATACTAGGCAGTGATCCTGTAATCAACAAACATGTAGTTATTGCTTCTCTGCCAAGGCTGCAAAGATAGAGGACTTTTCACACCAAATTTTAGTATACCATCTTCAGTGCACTGCGCTGATTTTGGCATGCAGCCAAAGGCATACAGGTGTATAGGCATACAGGTGATAGAGCCTGCTCTACCTTCCCTCCCGCGCTGCTCAGAAAAAAAAGAAAATAAAGCCCACCTAGCTTACAGAGGTTGGTTTCAGTGATCTGGTGCTGGATTGTTGCTGTGCTTTGCTTCATTTAACATCATAGGTGCTGCGTGAAGCTGTCAAAAGGCCAGAGGTCATGAGACAAGTGTCTAATTAGCAGCATATTCAGAGGAAATATGAGAAAAGGGAGGTGAGGACAAATGTGCTGGCAGAGTCTGGCTGGTAATGCAATAGCAAAGGAAAGATCTGCTTATGAGAACTGTAAGAATGAAGTGTAATGTCTAATCTTGCTGATCAGAACAGTACCTTTGGCTGCTCCAGGAGTATGGGTACCTACGCAAGGAAAAGCCAGACTGATCTTAGAAAGTGCCAATTTTTAGAGAACTTCCTATATCTAAAAGTCTCCCTGTGAACATGTTTAATTGTGGCTGTACCATCAGTGTAGTTTTGCAGAAAGTAAGTTTGAGGCATTGAAAGGCATAAGAATAATGGTTGCTTGCAGTTTGTGCTTTGCAATGTATTGTCTGTCTGATAGTTCACATGTTCTTCCAATATCATTAATAGAGTTTTTGTAAACACATTGATAAAACTTTTTCTGAAAAGAAAAGCTATCCTTCCTACAATTTTTGACAACACAAAGAAAGCATTGTTAGGATTTCACTGAAACAATACCCAAAATGAAATTGTTACTGGAAAATAAAACAGTTTGCTCAGATCTGTAAAAATAAACTTGACAGCAAGCCAGTTTTCTGAATGAAACCCTGTTCCTTGTGCTATAAGAGCTCCAGTAAGCACATTGTGCAGTGAGGGATTTTTTTTTTTTTTTGTCAATACTCCCTGGTCTGGGCAGAGCATGGCATGGAGGATGAACAGGAACTTGTGGTTATGGGGCAATACCATGTGCAAAGTCAACTGGTCCTGATTTAAAGTACTGGCAAATGGAAGCATGATCGCCTCACGGAGAGAAGATAACTCTCTCTGGGAGTCAGCAAAGGCAGGCAGCATTTTCTCTGGTGGATGTTGCTATTCTAAGCATGGAGAGCAAACTCAAAAAAAGATGTTCCTGCTCAAAGTGACAGTGTCCAGCATGAGTAGTAAAAGGAAAAACTGTCTGTGTATATTCCCAGGTAATGCAAAGCACTGAAATTAAGAGCCCTACAGTATTGCCTGCTCTGTAAAGCAGCTGTATCTGGAGGGCTCCTGGGATCATGCCTGAATAGCCAGAGGGATGAAAGAGATTTTTTTTTTCTAGCTCATTTGCTTCGTAACACCTCTGAAGGAAGGTGCTCCTGGCTGCCAAGGCAATCCCCCCAGAAGAAGTCAGTTTCTACCTCTCTTTAGTCTCTTGCATTGCTGAGGATGAACTCTGAGAAATAGTTGGTTAATGCTGTCCAGCTCGCTGGAGAGAGAAGAAGACAATGCTGAATGGTGGTTTCTGGACATCAGGAATTCATCTTTGCCTCTCCCCAGAGGGCAATACTACTTAACAGCTCAGTATGTGTTCACCTGAGAACATAATGAATAGAGACAGTCTTACTAGAAAATGAAGCCCTAGATACTTGCTAGGCTTGTTAACTCAGAGATTGTAGATAAGAAGAGGCAGAATTAAGTGACTCTCTGGCTCTTATATACATGGAGATGTCTGGTGCATGTACCCCGGAGCAGTTTGGAATGGGATCCAACACAGGTCATGGATGGGCACGCAGGGCACGCAGCAGAACAGCAAAGCATCTGAGACCAGCCATGCTCATACAAGAATTACTATGATATAAAAGTTACCCTGATGTAAAATAATTTTTGAGTGCAGTGGGGCATGACCCCTGGAAGAACTTCTAAATCCATTTTGTACATGCAGATCCTTTTGCTCCATTGCAATGGGATGCATGCTGTCCTAGGTACAAGGGACTCCCAATGAGGCGTAAAACTGAGGCACTTGAGAAGTTGTCTACTACAAAGAACATAATTGTCAGATAGATTGATAGTTGGCATAAACGAGCATGACTGCAGCCAATAAAATTGCTCTGATTAACATCAACTCTGTAGTTCGACATGAAGAAAATTCCTGTTAGGAGAGTTTTCTTGTAAGAAGAATTATTAAATAGGATCAAATACAGTTTTATCAATGAGTCTATGAACAGAAAGCACATTAAAAGGAGAATCCCCATCTAAAGAAACAAATGTAAGAATCTTACACCATTAAAATTCCTGTCCGAGACTGCACTAAAATGTTATTAATTTG